GTCATATAGCCTCCAAAGTCCTACTCGTATCCCCCTTTGTTTGTTTTTTCCCAAAGGAAGTGGCATAAAGAGGTGAATAATTTGCTCCAGAATCTAAAAGTTGCCCTTAATGTGGCCTGGAGTTTTCTAAAACTCTGGGCCTTGCTCAAAGAATATTGGTGCTTTCTTAGTTCTGATGGGTTTACATGTGTGGTGTTGAAAAGACTCCATAGATTTTAATAGTTCAGCAACTTAGATTATATGTCATAAGAAATTCAGTTACCACAGCAAAAACACATGTGAATAGTTCCCAACCTTTTTATTTAACCACCATTATGGGTTCCCTCTACCCTGCCCTCCTTGGGTCACATGTCATTAAGAGATTTTTTCCACCAAAAAATGAACTTTTTCTTTTAAATCCTCACTGGAGAATATGGTTTTCATTGTTTCTAGAGAGAGAGGAAGGGAGGGAGAGAGAAACATCAATGTGAGAGAGAAACATCTCTCAGCTGCCTCACCCACCTGCCCTCACCAGGAATTGAACCTGAGACCTTTTGGTGCGCAGGACGACACTCCAACCACAGAGCCACACTGGCCAGGGCAAAAACTGCCCACTTAAAAATGTTGTGGAACCAGAACTTTTACATTGTATCAGTAATTATTCAAATTATACTTTCAAAGAGTCTGGTGTTCTAAAGGCTGTGTGTGTAGCAGAATTAATTAGTGTACTCTGTATGCCAATTATAAAAGAGGAGTTTCTGTTGGGGAAGACAATGTCATCTGTTATTTTATTATATTTATACATATTATGTTTATTATCTTATTAACTATTACACTTGACCTTGTCTTTTTTTGTAGGAGTACCAGCAGAAATCCACTAATGTCATCTATCAGGCCCACCACGTGAGCAGGAATAAGAGAGGGCAGGTGGTTGGAACAAGGGGCGGGTTCCGAGGATGTACCGTGTGGCTCACAGGTATGCCATGTTGATATATTTTACTCAAAAATCCATGTGTGACACACTGTGTTAAGGACATCGGTGTCACCTAATTCTGTGTTTATTTTAACACTAAAAGGAAGCTGACAAATGCCTGGGTGTTGGTCCTCACTCCACCCTCAGAGAGAACTAGGACTTTGATCACGCCGTGGAACGTTGCGAGTTCTCAGTTTTCTCCTCTTTGTCAGGAAAAGACGGGACAAGTCGGTGATGACATCCCCTTTCAGCCTAAGGAATTCCATAATTCTCAATTTCGTGCCTAAACACATTGAGTGGCAGTTATGAATGTGGCTTTTCTAACTTGACATCAAGCCTTTGGCATCAAGCAGGCATTTCTGATGTTTAGAGAGGTTCTTTTTTGTTCTCTGATATTTTAGCATTCTAAGAGGCTATTTTACTTAGTGTAAAAAAGTTAAACTTTGTGCCAGAAGGAAAACTAGTGATTTCTATTTAGCTGAGGCTTGCCCTTGTATATAGAAATAACTTACTCGCACTGAGGTAATCAAAAGAACCTCCCTTTTCTTGTGTCTTTATAGCCACAAAATGTCAAAGCTAAGGGTTAGTGACAGAACTGGAGCTGGTCCTGGGCTGTTACCTTATACTCTGAGTATAGCATAGAGGAGGTTGATTCCTGGGAAAAGTCTGACATAGCCTAGACTTGAAAGGAAAAACCAAGTTCATTTTACAGACATAATATTTCAAAAAGAGACAACCCCAGATAAAAAGATATGTTTACCCAGGTTCGGAAATCAACTTATGTGTTACTGTCTGTTCACAGTAGTCTTGCCTGGAGGTAACTCTAATGAATGTGGCAGACAGGTACCTGCCAGGCCTCTTTTCTTGATATCCTGAGTCTCTCCCATTGTGGTCTAAATCAGCTTCGTTCTTTTTCAAGTGTCTTTTCTAGTGACTGTGGCACTTGCTTTTGGTTTCCTGGTTTTAGTCATCCGTGGTCCAACAACTTTTTCCAGTTTCCAGGGTGAGGACAAGCAGTGGGCAAGGAGCCTGCTGTATTCCAAAAGGCGGTGGTCACCCGTCTTGATTCCTGAAATGTTTCCCCCACCTGCCTCTGAGTGACATGATGGGCCGCCGTAGAGAAAACACCGCTGTGTCCCTGTTGTTTCTTTCTTGTTACATGCTTGTCTTCACGAGGTGTTTGCCTTCGTGGATTTGCCCAGCTTTTAAATTTGGACATCCATACAGAGTCCATTTTTTTCTAATGTGGAACACCCTTGAAAAATGAAAAAGAACTGCAGGAAGAGGGGACAACATTTATTTTTTATTCTCATACTGCAGAGGTAGGATATTGACCAGGCCGACCCGAAGAAACCAAGTTCATCTAATCCAGACACTTGGCTTTGAGCCCCAGCTCCGCGTATAGTAACTATGTGACTTTGGACAAACCAGTTAACCTCTCTAAGGAATAAACATAGTACCTGCCTCATGGAGGTGTAGGTAGAACTAAATGAAATAAAGCAGGTATGCACTTAGCAGTGCCTAGTCCATGGTAAAGCTCTCAATAGTGTTACTCCAGTGTTACTCCAGTATATTAAAATAAATATGGCAACAACCTAGTTTAATGCAGTTACTGTGCTCCAACAAAACCCTTGGTGGATGCAAGAGGAAAATCAATGGAAAAAAATTAATCCTGACATAAGCATAATACATTATGCATGATAATCTTCAGAATTTGAAAGCATGCAAAGGCAATCATCTGAAAAGCAGTGACTGATTTACAGGGTGATTTCAGCTCCCTGTAGTTGGTGTAAAAATGTTTAGGAAGTACAGGAGTGTAAAAACAGAACAACTTCTCTCTCTTTTTAATTTCTGAAGAAAATAAATAATTTCATGTAATGTCTCAATAACCACTCCTTGGAAAATTTCATAGTAATATAATAGTAATAAAAATAATAATGATAGCCCTGGCTGGTATGGCTCAGTTAGTTGGGCGTGGTCCCATGTACTGAAAGGTTGCCGGTTTGATTCCCAGTCAGGGCACATGCCCGGGTTGCAGGCTTAGTACCGGTGGGAGGCGTGTAGGAGGCAGCAGATTGATGTTTCTCCCTCACATCAATATTTCTCTCTCTCCCTCACTCTCTCTTCCTCTCTGTCTAAAAATCAATTTTTAAAAATTTATTTAAAAAATAATAATGATAGCTAAAAAAAAAGTTAATGGTATTGACCTAACATGTTACCTTTTCTTGTAAAGTGTCAAATTCACATTCAAATTATTCAGTTCTTTTCCTAGGCCTGATCCATTTTTGAGCCCTGATTTGAAATGCAGAATGGTAGTTGAGCAGCCGATTCTGAAAGTCAAATACAAAGTTAATTTCACTTTAGAGTAGAAATTTGGAGTAAGTCCTATCAACTCGATAAACCTGGTGATGATATGAAAAGACTCATTTAGCAAGACCAATGCTGGTTCCACAGGAAAAAACATGGTTCTTTGAAATAGGCTACAGGAAGAAACTACTTTCTGATATAAATTGTGATATGGCTCTACAATAAGAATGGCAAAGACAAGATACTTTACTTGAATGAATGACCTAACCTTATAGAAATGAGAGTGATACCACTTACCTGATGTATAAATATCCAGATTCTATAATAAATTCAGTTGTTAAAAAAGATACAGTTACTGTGATTTAGCTCTTAGTTTCCTGAGAACTGAAACAAAATCAAAGGAAATTTCTATTATTTCTCTCATTTTCTGATGGAAGAGAAGATCCCAGAGATTCAGGAGTTCCATTCCCCTACCCCACATCCAGACAGACATTCTCATAGACAGTGAGCTACATGATAGACAAAGTCACCTAATAGACAGTGTCGTCAGCAGTGATTTGTAGAGACTGCCAACACATTCTTCAGGGAGCCACTTCTTCTAATAATCCTGACTCAAGGCCAGGGGCATGACTTTGAAGTATAACTAAAAAATGGAAAATATTTGTTTACCTTTCATATATCACCTTTCTTTCCAAGTCTCCTTTTCTCTCTGTCCTTTGTCCCTGCTTTTCTTGTACTTTTGTCTTTATCCCCTTTCCACCCGCTGTCTTCTCTGTAGTGACCTTGTGACCTCTTTCCTTTGCCCCTAACTTTCCCTCTTCCATGCCCGGGTGCTGACAGTGGCTTGGCACGATGGGGCATTCTTCAGGTTCCGAGATCCTCAGGACGACCGAATGTTTAGAGTGCTACTTCCCAGGGCACTTTAGATTGTGAACTCTTAAATGATTTTGGAAGGTTGCATTTCTTTCCCTTTCTCCGTATGTTCTCCTTCGTATAGAAATTATAAAGTGTGTTCCTACTCATTGTGCTTTGAAATCGTGGTAAAAAGTGGTTTCTCATGTAAGACTGTTCTCATGTAAGACTCCAAACAGCTAAGAGAGTAGGACAGCTCTCAGCACAGCCACAGCCTAGCTCAGGATGCTTCTCTGCCTTCATGTGTCAAAGAGTCATTTGGGGGAAATTTTGAAAATAAAGGGCAGTCTGTGGGCTCTGTTGTCAGTTGGCTGTTTAGTGGTATCCACAAGGGAGGTGGCCTCCCAGACTCCAAGGGCTGACTGTCCCCTCCACTCCAGCTGATTATTGTCACAAGAGGATCTGAGGACTCTCTCACCAGATATTCTGGGTTGGTTTTTTTTCAAGAGAAGCCAAAATCTGGATTTTTATGTGCAACGTTCTGATCTTTAAAACACTCCGCAAGCAAAACAGAACATAGCAAGAGCCAAATGTAGCCCCACAAGGTCTCCCCATTCATGAACCTCCCTGGCTTTGAAAGGCTATAGTCCTAATATAGGACAACTAGTTATCTCAAGATTTGAAAGAAATGCAAGTACTTGACTTGTTGCAAACTATGCTTTTTCTAGATTTTAAGGATTTTGATTTGAGGTCAATCAAATGATTGTAATAAGGATGTGATTACACTTTAATTAGGTAAAAATTAAGATCAGGTCATGATTAGGATCAGGTTCCAATTTGTCATAAACAATCAGGGACAATGCCTGTCTTGTCTTGCCTGTTCTGAACAGGTCTCTCCGGTGCTGGGAAAACCACCATCAGTTTTGCTCTGGAGGAATACCTCGTCTCCCACGCCATCCCTTGCTACTCCCTAGATGGGGACAATGTCCGTCATGGCCTTAACAAAAACCTTGGATTCTCTCCCGGAGACAGAGAAGAAAATATCCGCCGTATCGCCGAGGTGGCCAAGCTGTTTGCCGATGCCGGCCTGGTCTGCATCACCAGCTTCATTTCTCCTTTCGCGAAGGTAAACCGATTTGGCTCCGCACTGGGCTCCCCCCCCTGCCAGGAGAGGTAGTGGGGGCGGTGCAGAGAGGAACTGCACTTCCAGGTTCCCCCACTGTTCCTTCCTGTCCGCACTTGCTCCCTCCTTTCCTCTGTTTAAAGTGGGTTCTGTAAAGAGTTCCTTCATTCCCAGGTGCCAGGGCGCCTGACCACATACACCCTGCCATGTTCACAATCGCAAGGTACCCTTGGCCGGAGCTGAAAGGAAGAAAAAGTTAAAGAAGAAAAACCCTAAAGCTCTATGCTTTCATTTCTCCAAAACTGCCAAATGCTTAGCTCACTTACCGAAAATAGCAGCTCACTCCCCAAGCCTCAGGGTCTGTGTGTTTCACGCTGCAGTCACCAAGGGGGAGTGTCACTCTTCTGGTTTAAAAGAGAATTTCTGTGAGCTTCCAATAAGACATTCTGTACTTGGAACATGTCCTTTGAGTGAAATGCTCCCGTGTCGCCAGCCTTGAACATTAGCAGGGATTCTTTCCCAAGGTTTTCTTTGAAAGTCCTGGAGAGAGCTGTGTTTACCAGATGAAACTTCTGGACTTTCTCTGAAGCTGAAGCTCCCTCCCACCTCTGCAGAGCATAGAGCCCACTGTTTTCTTCAGGCTGGGGGACACCAGAGCACACGATGTTTTATGATGAACAATTTCATGGGGAAACCTTTCCTTACTTTCCTAAGTGAAACATTTTCCCCCCAGGATCGTGAGAATGCCCGCAAAATCCATGAATCGGCTGGACTGCCCTTCTTTGAAATATTTATAGATGCGCCTCTAAACATTTGCGAGAGCCGGGATGTAAAAGGTCTCTACAAACGAGCCCGAGCTGGAGAGATCAAAGGTAGGAGAACCAGCTCAGCGGCACCTTTGTTGCTTATGTCTGTCACCCATCCTTCCCGGTCAGTCCCTAGAAACCTGTTGGAAGTTTCAAAAGCTGTTTTCCAAACTTGCATGTAGCATACACAACCCATAATATCCCACCATTATATCTTCAAAATGGCCACAGGCATATTAAAATGTGGGTTCATGTTTTTCAAGAACTGTCGTCAGCGATGAGCAATGAAGTTCAGGGAACTAAAGTGGATGAGTCTGTGAGCGTGTGTGTGTGTGTGTGTGTGTGTGTGTGTGTGTGTGTGTGTGTGTGTGTGTGTAGGAGGAGTGTGTCTGAGTCTTCCGTCTTCTTGTCCTCTTTTTATATTCTAATCAGCTACAGGGGGCTTGGGCTTGGCTAGCCAGATTTTGTGGATGATTTGTGACTTTCTCTATTGAAAATACAGCTGTATGTTTTTTCACATACAGCTAGAGGTCAAGGATGGCTGGTTGACCTCCGTTATAATCTGAGTTCTCAGTTTAACACATTATTGCAACATGCGTTATGACTTGATGAAAAAGGTGGCTCTGTTGGGGCGAATGTGATGTCCTCCCTTCTGCCTCACAGGATTCACAGGCATTGATTCTGATTATGAGAAGCCCGAAACGCCCGAGCTGGTGCTGAAAACCAACTTGTCCTCCGTGAGCGACTGTGTCCAGCAGGTGGTAGAACTTCTGCAAGAGCAGGTGGGTGGACTGGTTGTCGTTTCTTTTTATTTATTTTAATTTCATAAGATCATGAAAAATCATCTACGTATGGAAGCATTCTCTTTTTAGTTTTCATTCCAAATTGTTCCCAATTCTGCTTCATTTCAGAACATTGTTCCCCATTCTGTAATCAAAGGCATCCATGAGCTCTTTGTGCCTGAAAACAAACTGAGCCAAGTCCGAGCTGAGGCTGAAGCTCTCCCTTCACTGTCAATCACCAAGGTAAGAGGGTGCAGACTGGCCAAGGGGAATTAGGTTTAATATCAGTCATTATAATCCATTTACAATTGCTCTTAATAATATGGGCAGAATGAATAAGGGAAATGCAATGTTCATAAAGGAAAACACTTCATTTTGTTAATTTGTAGAAAAAATTTGTTTGTATTCATTTCAGAGAGAGGAAGGGAGAGGGAGGGAGAGAGAAATATCTATGATGAGAGAGAATCATCGATCGGCTGCCTCCTTGCACGCCCCCTACTGGGGATCAAGCCCACAACACAGGCATGTGCCCTGACTGGGAATCGAACCGTGACCTCCAGGTTCATGGGTCGACGCTCAACCACCGAGCCACACCGGTGGGGCTGTCAATTTTTTTTTTTACCCTCTTCTCCAATCAAATCTGTCGCCAAGAGTTGACACAGGACAGCTGATCACTGCGAAGTAGAGAGGCAGACCAGGAAGGTAACTTCTGTATTTCCATAGGGCAGCTTCACTTGTCTTCATACCTTCGGTTATGCCAAAGTGCAGGCACTAGGCAATAATTGTTGGCAGCTGCTGGAAGATTGCTTGTTCAGAATACAAGTGCTTCTTGGGCAATTGAGAAAGAATTGGGAGAAAACAAAAAGCAACCTTGAACTAAAGTGATATGAATGCCCTGATCTTTTTCTGCTCTGCAAATTCTCCTCTTTCCTCATCGGGGAGCATCCGGCCTGAGGAGAGGCGGAGAGGGAGGCTAGGCCTGAAACCACATGTGTGCTTGGACTACACATCGGCGGTGGCGTTGGTGAAATAGGCCCCCAAAGGGCAATGGGAAGAGGTGGAAGTTCCTGCATGAGCCTTTGGGCCGGAGCTTGAAGGGCTTTCAGGATCATGCTAAGAATTTTGGAATGTTATCTTAGAGTCAATGGTTTGCCCAATTCAGTCAACTAAATAGTGAGTTTGGTGAAAAAATATAGCCAAACCAGAATTTTTTTTTGGAGGGGGGGAAGAATGAACAGTGACTGTTCAACACAGTTGCATACCGTAAGGATAGATACAGCCTAAAGCGTTCAACTAAATCATCTCAATTTGAAATCTTTTCACCACACCCCGGTAGGAGGGTTCTAGACTCAAACTTATCTGGCCCCAGACCATGGGTTGGCTTAACATATGGGAACACTAAAGACATTAAAGGCTCTGCCTTCATCCTTCTGTCAACTGAATAAGAAAGGCCTGCCCTGGGCCAGATGGCTGAGCCCCAGAGCTTATGGAAGCGTTCACCTGCTTATCCTGTTTTGCAGCTGGATCTTCAGTGGGTCCAAGTTTTGAGTGAAGGCTGGGCCACTCCCCTCAAAGGTTTTATGCGCGAGAAGGAATACTTGCAGGTTTTGCACTTCGGCACCCTGCTGGATGGTATGGCTTTTTGTTTCTTACTCTTTATTATTATTATCATTACTATTAGTTGTTGTTCTTGTTGTTCTTTGGCCGATTCACTTAAATTCCCCAAATCATAATAGTTTCTGTTGTTTTTCTTCTTGATCAGTGTATTTAATACAACAGCTGAAGGACCGATATTAGTGGAAAGGGACTTGCTCTGGACTAAGAAATCCTAGCGTTCATGACCTACTGCTGCCACATACCCTTGTGACTTTGGAAAAGTAATTTAACTTGTTGAGACTTTAGGCGTCCTCATTACCCTCCATTATATAAGAAAAGGTTGATTCACCAAATAGATTTCTAGATTTTGTACAATTCTGACCATTAATTTTGCTCACTTTCTCCCTTTTCTGTCAACTTTCCATCTCCAAGTGGTTCCTAGAGCTTTTTCAGAACTCGGTGCCAAGCCTCTGAACTTCCCTTTCTTGCCACTCTTTATTATTAAAGAGAAAACTTTCTCAGACTCTTCACAGGAGCAAGGAAAGCTAACTCTTGGTTTGTAAATCTTTTCTGAAAATATTTAGATCACTTATGGTGTGTCTAGTCCTATGATGTATAAGCTTCCATCTTAAAGATCTTTCTGGTTATCCTCAAAGGATTATTGATTGTTCAAAACCAAGGAACTGAAGGCTTTCTTGCACACAGAGCCACGGGATGGTTACGTCTATTTCACCTCCACCTGTCCTTTGCTGGCCCAGATATTCAGAAGGCAGCAGACAGTCAGAAGCATTGTTGCCAGATACTAGGACCATCTGGGCAACCAGGATGAAGTCAGCACACATTGTTGACCTACAGGGACCACTCATCCTCCAGGTTGCTCAGTCCAGCATCATTGCAGCAGTTGCTTTCCTTGATGGATGCTAAAGTGTGAATCAATATTCATGCTTATACATGAAATATACTAGGATGGCATCATTTACTAAACTCTAACAAGAGAGCACTGAGGCAGTTTTCTGGGCATAAGCTGATGGCTTGTACCGATCTGGTCAAGGTCGGAAGCATGTGTTATTCAGGAAACTTCCGGACTCTTCTATGATCATTTCCTTCCTCAAACTGCCCGAGCTAATCAAGAGGGACTTGTCTGTTTCGAGGCTCTGGAGAAAGGCTGATAAGTGGGAGGGGTGGTGGTAGAGTCACCCTGAATTTGTAATACTGAGCTTGGCTCAAATCTTTTAGGAAGAAAAATCAAATCAGATGTCATTTCTTGGGAAAGATGTTCATGTTCTAGGCTTGTGACTCTGCCTGGGGACTGGGGCGTAAAGCCAGAATCAGAGCTCAGAAAGGACTGGTCAACACGGGCCCTCTCCCCTCGTTCCTCTCATCAGCTATTCCATTATCAGTTGTGGCTGATAATGCCCCCAAACCCGAGACTTCATTTCTCAGATTAAATAACGTTCCAAAACACATGATTTACTTATATCTTGCCTTAAAAATAATAATGCATATCTATACAACACTTCACTGTTTGCAAAGCATTTCTCAGGCATTATTTCATGTGGTCCTCACGAAAGCTCTGGAAGACAGGCAACTATTTTCATCCCACTTTACAGATGAGGAGACTGACCTCAGGTTAAGTAGTTGGCTGATGTTCATACCATTGGTAAGAGAGGGGCCCAAGACAAGAGACCAGAATCTCCTGGCTGCTGGCCCAGTGCTCTTTCCATACCCAGATGCTCTCCTGATGTCCTTCCCTATAGAAGTTAATAGCTCAGGATATTTGTACAGCAAACATTTACAGGCTGACATTTACCTCAATGTCTTAATTTCAACACTTGCTGAGCACAGGCTACGTCGAGTAAATGTCACCGGACTCAGCAGCCACCCACGAACAAGAGGTTGACCGTGAGCATACAAACCTGAGCTGTGGCCAAAAGAAAAGTGAGCCACCTTGAAAGTGAGGACTTTATTACAGACTCAGCACTGTAACCTTTAACTAATATTTGTTCTTTAAAGAAAAATACCAGGGTGATGGGTGTTGTTGCAAAGGTCAGTGTTAATGGAAACCAGGGGTTCTTAACTTGGGGTCTAGGACTTCATGGTGTGGGGACAAAACAGTCCTAAAGCAAGCAAAATTGTGTGTGTTTTAAGAAGGGGAGAAGTGGGAATTTTTTCCTGGCTTCCCAGATTTTGATGGATTCTGAAAGGAGTTTATGATCCAAAAAGATGAAGAACAGCTAATGCAGAAAGTCCATCTGGATAATTTAAGCCAAGTCTCCCCTCCCTCTAACACCATTTCCGTTCCATTTATGGTGCTCTTCCATTTGCACAGCACGCTGCCTTTCTTTTTCTCATTTGGTTCTTACTGCCATGAGGCGAGGCGGGTGAAGCACTTCTTAGTGCTCTCACTTCCCACGTAATCCAGGTGCCTACCCCTCCCCTCCCCCAAGCCCACCAATCTGGGGATACAAATGAGGTCACTTTCTCGTTAATACTTGAATCCCACTAGTTCCCAACCCTTACCTGCTCATAGAGAAATCCCAGTTCTTTCCAAAGCCTACCCTCAAGTGTTTGTGGGAATTCTCAAGGGTGTTTCCGGTGCTCCAGAGTCAGGCCTACAGCCATATGCCACTTGCATGTGCATCTGTGCCTCTCTGCGCCCACAAAGGTGCAGATTCTGCCCAGTCACTGCAGCCACCGCTGTCCTTGTGCCCAGAGGGCTGCCACAGTTCACGTACTCTTTCCCAGGGGGGAAGGAGAATGTTCCCTTTCTCTGTGTTCACCTCAGTTGAGGATGCTCTAGTGGGTTGCTTGAGTCCCACAGGGTTAGAGAATCGAGTGAAACAACTCTGGTGATAAGTACACATTCTCCTGCGGCTGCCAGTGAGGTTATGTTGGGGCGGGGGAGTGGGTAAGACCAGGTGTCGTGCTGTTTCCACAATCCTTACCCCTTCCAACCTGTAGGGCCTGTTTCTGGGACTCTCTGCAAGACTTTTTTGCCCTGTGGGAATTCTCCGCTGGCTCCACCATCTACCTCTGCAGCCCAAGTCCGCTGGGCATGCCTGTGTAACTCCGGGTATAGTCAGGGTTCAAAATGCCTCACGCTCTTCAGGAGCTTCCTCAACGCCTATGGAAATCAATTAATAAAAATTGATACCAGGGATATAATATGCTGCCCACTTGTACTAAAGTAGAGATAGACTATTATAGTGGGTAAGAGTGTGAGCTGTGGAGCCAAACTGGGTTCATATGCCAGTGATTTGCTTTAAACCTGGGCAAATTCCTTAAACCCCCTAGGCCTCAGCTTCCTCATCTGTAAAACGGATATTAATAACAGTACCTACCTCACTGGGATGTCGAAAGGTTAAAGGAATGTCTGGTCTAATAGTGAATGTTTTTATATATTAACAAACCCCCATAGCATGCAAGTAAAGGAACTTGAACTCTTAAAGAGACCAAGGCTTATATCTAGGCACATCAATTTGGAAGTAGCACAAAAAAAGTTCATCAGCTATCCAGCAGACATTGACTGAGTGTCTCACATGCCAGGGTTTGCTCTGGCTGCTGGAGACAGAGTGCTAATGAAGATAGGCGTGAGCTTGCCTGGACAGACAGTACAATTCATTGTCTGAACCTGGTCCAGTAGGTCCTTCCCACCGCATGAGTGGTTGTCAAACATTTTTTTTAAAGCCAGAGAACTGTATTTCAGTGAAATCTGAGGCAGTCTATACAAGAGACGAAATTAGAGCTGCTCCTGTGGGAGGGGTAGACTCAGCCACCCTTCCACCTGGACGGCATCCCTGGGGGCGTCTGCAGGAAGCCAGTTGAAACCCTGCCCTGCACCATATGGTGACAGTCTCATGGCAGAGCCTGCCTTAATGGCTTCTGGACTGAGTAGGCAGAATTAAATTCCAAAAAGTGGTTATTTATATGTTAGAAGGTTGGGCAAGATATCATTCATATGGATATCGTTCAATTTTAACCAATTCAAGAAAGTTTGAATCACCACCGTCAAAAACTTGAAATAATTTCTATAGACAAAGAATTTCAAATTTCTTAATTGCCTATAGTTTATAGGCAATATTTCTTTTATTCTGACCTTATCTCTTAAAAATATTTTGTTGGTTTTAATTTTCTCAAAGGGTCACATTTTCCCCTAAATTAAAAAAAGATTAGCTCAGTCTAATATGAGTTACTCCCTATAGTACTCAGAGATCTACTTTCATGTCAATGTATTATGTCATTTTATTTTTCACTGGATATATAGTTTTGGGGTTGTCACAGAGCCTCCAATCATAAATGTCACATCCAAATTTATAAATGGCACTACAAGTTTGTGTTCTTGGCTGGTGGCCCCAGGTAGGGTCAAATCATAGCAGCCTTGTGAGACTTGATCATTTAAAAGTTAGTCTTCCGTGGCTCTGAGTTCCCAAGGCAGGGCTTGAGGGCTTTCCTTCTATACTGTCAGCATTTATTCAGCACTTAATGTGGTCTGACCGTGGCTTTTAACATAGGACATCACACTTAATCTAGATAACACCACTGTGAAGATGTGCATATGAGAAATAAATATTGGAAAAATTAATTCAACCGAAGTCTCAATTCAAATCTGGGTTATCCTGGCCCTAGCATTTGTGCTTGTTCTACAGAGCATATTTTCACGTCCTCTAAACATCTACGATTCTAGGATGTTCTAGAGCAGTTTACTTCTGTACCTGCTTCCAAAGCCCAGTCTGGAGCCGTATGTAGTAGTTATACCATCACATATTTGCAAGAGATAGCTTCTTTCTGAAGTTGGAGGAGCCATTGACATATGTTAAAATTATTTTTAAAACAGATAATCATCTGAAATAATGCTTTTGGATTGTATTGAATAATATCCAGTACAAATCTGTTTTCACCAGGTTTTTGCTATCACATATTCTCTATTTTCTAAAAGTAGGAGTAGCAAAATATATTTGTATGTTGTGTGTGTGAAGTTTTATAATAGGAATTTGTTCCTCAGTATAAAATTATTGCTTTAAGATGACTTTGGTGGAGACCTGAAAACATTTTCTTTAATTGTGTTTGTATTTTTCTAGGCATGGCCCTTTCTGGTATGTACTTTAACTTTCCAAGTAGTTAAATTATTATTTGTAGATACATTATAATGATTAGAAATGGTTGAGAACCTAACTGAAAAAATTAAAATGAACCAGTTGGAATTGCTAACAGTTCGTGATCCAACCAGTTATAATAGCATAATATGCGACATCCTTCTGTTGACTGGAGTTTAAATAACAGGAAATTTCTGGATCAGATGCAGCTGTTGTTTATAATGTTGTATTTGGCTGACAAAAGTAAACGCATTTCTAAATTGCTGCACATTTTGTTCCTGAGCTTTTAAAAGTTTGTGATCCTTTCCACTAGTTACTTTTATTGAATGTTGGTCCTCATGTAGTTTCACAAATCTAAAAATTTTTCTATTGCATTTATAAAACGTTTTTAATTGCTGAAGGATAAATCAGTTTTAGATGCAATTTAAAGTGGGTGCACCTGGTTGGATTGTGAGCGATCATACCTCATTTGTTTGTGATGTGTGATTATGCATGAGTTTAATGGTGAGCTATGATGATTGGCGGTTACAGACCTGGGAATAAACACGTGCCTGTTATGACTATAAAACTCTGCACTGTACCAGAATGAAAAGGTAAAATTATGATATGGAAAAAGGCTGAAAGCCTGAGTCAATGTTTGAAGCTATGAAGAATATTTCAGCACAGAGTGTAATTGTTGAATAAATTTTTGTATTAGATAAGTGGATAGAGCCCAGCTGGTGTGACTCAGTGGTTGAGCGTCGACCTATGATCCAGGAGATCCTGATTCGATTCCTGGTCAGGGCACATGCCCCGGTTTCGGGCTCGATCCCCAGAGAGGGGTGTGCAGGAGGCAGCTCATCAATGACTCATCATTGATGTTTCTATCTCTCTCTCCCTCTCCCTCCCTCTCTCTGAAATCAATAAAAACATTAAATCTGCTTATACCTGTGTGGAGTTGTAGCTACAGGTATATGAGATCAGTTAACATTACTTGGTGCAACTTCTTTCCATGACATCCCACAGATTAGCCTCTCATCTTTACACTCTTGTCAGCAAGGGCTGATTCCTCGGTCTGGATTTTCACTCAAGGCTGAAATAAAGGTGGGTCGGAGGCTACACTGGGCAGGAACCTAGTCGATCAAAGGAGGCGATTGCAACAGGAAAGTGGAGTATTCCTTGGATTTCAATCTAGAATAATTGAGGAAAGACACCACTATAAGCACGTTGCAACCAGAGCTAGGCTTCCTCCAGCATCCTGCCCATCTTTTGCTTTGCATTTTGTTTTACATTATTTTGGTCGAGTCACTCTTTAAGCAGCGTGGTCAGTGATGCACGATCCACAGAAAGCGTATCTAACTAGATCATCACTATCCTTGAAAGTGTTATTGTTAACCTCTCTCGTTTTCTCAATTAGACTATGCAATGGGTTTAATTATCTTTCACCGTAAACCTCCGCTGATACAGTGCTTTACAACATGCCTCCTCCCAGCAACCCGGGGAAATACATATTATTTATTGCCCCACTTTTCAAGTGAGGAAATTGAGCACAGAAGGTGAATGACACAGGTGGTAAATGGGAGAACGCCTGACTGAATTTAGTGTTTTCTGTGCAGGGCTTGGCCTACTTTTATTGCCTCTCAACTTTGAAACAGAGGAGTTATTTGAATGACAAAACCCATTACTTTCTCTGCACAGTATCTTCCTTTGGGTTTATAAGGGTTCGCAGAGCAGGTTACAGGATTTTATGATAGGGTCTCTTTTTTGCTGGCAGTTGCTGTCTATAACCTGTGACATTCTTTACATCCTAGTAACTACTGGAGAGAATTTAATAGGTGTAAATTGAGCTGCCTGGAGACTTTGGTTTCATAGCTACTAGAGAGAGTGTTTGCTCCCCTCCCCCCCCAAAAAAACCAGAACTCAGATCTCAGATCTTTAACTCTATTGGAGGCATTCTAAATGTTGAATTTGGAAAGTTAGGTTTAAAAGGTTTCATTAATCTATGGTACATTTCCTCAAATCCATAAGTAACTGCATTTGTTTTCTCTGGAGTTCAGTGTTTATCTACCTTCCTTTCATTTCCTTCTGAGTCTTGAACTTTGGAACTCCCCACAGCTCTCCCTAATGTTCTTTCGCGCCTCCATTCTCTTACCTATAAGGTCAAAGGAGAGACTCACACGTTTGTTAGAATGTTAGGGCACCATTACAAAAGGAGCAAAACAGTTGTGTAATTTCTTTTACATTAATTATCTGACTTCATTAAAACAGATATTTCCAGGGTCCCAAATTGTATCCTTTTAAGCTCCAAACTGAAAAACAACTACACTTTTTAACTGTTTTATCTAGAAACGTTAAAAAAAAATGTTCTTCTGAAAAAACAAACAACTTCTTCACATAAAAAAAAAAAAGAACGTGGCCCTCGCCGGTGAGGCTCAGTTGGTTGCGGGGCATCTGATGCACCGAGAGGTCGCTGGTTTGATTCCCAGTCGGAGCACCTGCCTGGGGTTGTGGGCTCGATCCCCAGTAGGGGCATGAAGGAGGCAGCCGTTTCTCTCTCATTGATGTTTCTGTCTCTCTCTCCCTCTCCTTCCCTCTCTAAGAAAATCAGTAAAAAATAAAAATTAAATTAAAAGAATGTATTAAACATAAGGAAACTTAAAAATGACTCCACCATCATTATGCCAGTTACTAAGCTGAGCTCTAATGTAATGGTGCCCTGGGGCTTGAGAGACCAGTAGGATTGTTGGCCTCACATTAAAGGACCCCCATGACTCTGTATTTTTAGTTTCTCTATTAATGCCGTTTTTCCAGAGAAACAGGAGAGAGAAAGAGAGAGAGAGATTTATTTTGAGGAATCAATTTAGTCAATTGTGGAGGCTTGGCAAGTCCAAAATATTCAGGGTAGGCTGGCAGGCAGTAGACCCAGTGAAGAGTTACAGTTCAAGTCTAAAGGCAGTGTGATTTTATTATAGAATTATACACCTGAAACCTATATAATTTTATTAGCCTATGTCACCCCAATAAATTCAATTAAAAAAATAAAGGCAGTGTGTTGGCAGAATTTCCTCTTCTTCCTAGGAGGTCAGACTTTCTATTAAAGCCTTCAACTGATTGGACGAGGCCCTCTACATTATGGAGGGTAATCTGCTCCACTCAAACTGACTTAAATGTTAATCTCATCTAAAAATACCTTTAGAGAAATGTTTGAAATGTAGAATAACAAATATCTGGGCACTGTGGCCTAGCCAAGTTGACACATAAAATTAACCACCACCATTTCTATCTCTGTTTTTGTTTTGTTTTGTTTTTTAAATATATCTTTATTGATTTCAGGGAGAGGAAAAGAGAGGGAGAGAGAGAGATAGAGATAGAAACATCAATGATGAGAGAGTCATTGATCGAGTATGCAACCCGGGTATGTGCCCTGACCAGGAATCGAACCCCAATTCCCTTTATTTTGTGTAACTGGGGTTTTAAAGACTTTAAACTTCCTAGTGTGTTGAGGTCATATACTATAGAGAAACTGGTGCACCTAACACAACCATGTTGGATTTAGGTCTTAGTGACTATTGCAGGAAATGTTTGGAAGGGACATTGTGCCCATCTGAGCCATCCTTACAAGACGGCACCCTGTATCCCATGTTCACGCACCCTATGGCTCTTTCCTCAGATGGAGTGATCAACCTGAGCATTCCCATTGTGCTTCCTGTCTCTGCGGACGATAAGGTGCGGCTGGAAGGGTGCAGCGAGTTTGTCCTGACACACGGTGGAAGGAAAGTGGCTATCTTACAAGACCCTGAATTTTATGAACATAGAAAAGAGGAGCGTTGCTCCCGTGTGTGGGGGACAACGTGTGCAAAACATCCCCATATCAAAGTAAGTTGCCAAGCCTTTGGAAAGGTTTGCCTGATCTCTTTCAACTTAGGACAAAAATAGTTCTTTTTAAGTCCTTAGAAAAACTGTGGTTAGGTGGAAGAATGCATTTCCAAGGGAAGTTTTGCAGGCTTTGCCTTGGAGATCTTTTTAGAGAGGGTCAAAGAAATGTATTTTGAGGGCTGGTCTAAATGATCTCTTGTGTCCTTGGCTCCTATGATGTCTGGGTCCCTCAGCTAAATGGGAAACAACGGGGCAGGTTAGATAACTTAGTCTAACATCCTCTAGCTCTGCACAGAACCACAGCCAGACCTTGCAGACCTGTCCATCTTGAAAATTCACAAGGAAAGTCAATTTCTTCATATAGAATGGGTCCAACCAACAGCTGGAAAGAGACTCAGAGTTCATGTTCTGTGGCCACGGCGGGGTCAGTGACATCCTTTCAGTAAACAAAAATCAGGGCAGATATTGGCAGAGTTTCTGGAGGGAGGGAACCTCATTTTCATCAATGGATGTTTTTTAGATAGGAAAATGTATTCATCTGATTAGGATCATTTCAAGTCTCTCTTGCCTAAAAGCAAAACAGACTTAAACCTCCTCAGATTCCCGCGCAACTTCTGTTTGATGGGGTGGGAGTGAAGGGTATTATGGAATTGCTGGAGTTGGTTCATTCTCCATAAAGAAAACTATGGGAAATTGAATGCAAAAACCATTCCTCATCCAAGATTAAAGCATTAGAGTTGACATTTTAAAAGACATACTGCTAATTTGACTTGTCAAATTCCCTAGCTGGGGTACCTAATTTTCAGAAAGATCACAGGAATAGAGAGCAATCTGAGGCCCCAGGAGACTCTTAAAAGCACATCTTCTCTCTGGGCCTCAGTTTCTCCATTTATAAAAGGAGTCCAGACTCAAAATAACCCCAAGACCTCTTTCAGTCCTGAGACCCTGCAAAATGGATGTTAAAATAAACCTGTTCTAATCTGTTAGGCAAACTTATGTTTTATTTTATTTTATTTTCCCTCAGTTGTGAAATGTTACAAGATAGGAAGGGCTTTTTCAAGGCCGCTGGCGGCAGCCTCTGATACAAAAGGTCGGTTGGCCGCAAAGCAGCTTTTCGTTTGTTGGACCCAGCTCTCCACCCTGCAGATAAACATTTGTATTCTTTTTTCTTTCTTTTTTAAGTAGTTGTATTGGCTTTTACTCTTTTAAAAAAAAAAAAATGTTTTTTATTGATTTGAGACAGAGAGGAAGGGAGCAGGAGAGAGAAACATCGATGTGAAAGAGAGACATCAGTTGGTTGCCTCCTGCATGCACCCTGACCGGGAGTCCAACCCAAAACCTGGGCATGTGCCCTGACCAGGAATCCTTTCGGTGCACAGGGCAATGCTCAACCAACTGAGCCACACTGAGCCACACCAGCCAGTGCAAGCGTCTTTAATCTTAACGCACATCCAGCTCAAAGCCATCTGAACAGTTTCTCTCCCAGAGACTGGCAGACTGTCCTGAAAATTGCTAGACATCGACTGAGAGCTTTTTAAGGAATTGTGTTCTGGGCCTTAATTATGCCTGTTTTATTCCTTTCCTGATAGTAATCATATAGGTTTGTGATCTCATCTTCACTCAGTGTCCTAAGGAATAGTTGCCTGTCATCATGCCAGCTCAGATATTTCCACCCTTTGGGCCTGACACCCACATCCACATGATTAGCACTAAAAGGGGAAACCCCCCCACAAAAAACTCACAAAAACACACACCAACCAACCAACCAAACAAACAAACAAACAAAACCTAAGGAAGCTCCTAATCAATTATTTCTTTTCATCTTGTCTTGCAACACGTGTTGGCAGTTGGAGCTCAGAATTTCTTAGAAGCCAGGGAGAGTGTTGATGTGACTGTGGCCTTGACAGTACAGTCAGTGACCCTGTACCATTAGGTTATTAGAGGGACTCTGTAAACATTCCCAGTGAGCTAGCTAATGGTGAGAAATGGGCCATGGATAACCAGAGAGAGAAAGCCACTCACTCGCCCTGTATACACTATGCTTGGAGTGCTGAAGGTATATTACCATACATTTCATTGGGAAAGAAACTCTTTGCATTGTTGTTTTTTTTTTAGCACCTTGAAATTCATACTACTACTTAAACATGTTAAAAAAAAAAAAAAAAAAAAAATCTCACACCCTCCAAAAATAATTTCTTCCAAAAGTAATCGTAGGCCTTCTTGTATTTCCATGTGACACTGGAGTGATATATGCATGGAAAATGGTCAGCGTCACCAAGGAAATGCTCTGCCCCTATCACATTGCTCCTCATTGAAGTCATGTTGACCTTTCATTCAAGTCATTCCAACCCTCTCTCCCGAGTCACTAACATGGCACCATGTGACATGATGTCAGATGAAATCATGAGGAGGAGCAGGTGAACGTATAGAAACAATGCTTGGAGGAGCCCTGTTGCCTTTCATCCATGTCTCTGAAAGCTTTTCCAAACAGTAATTATTTCTCACAACGTTCTTGTGAAGTAGCCGAGAATCATTACTCCCATTTTACAGATGTGGAAACCAAGAGAACAGAGTAGGACTTCCCTTTAGCTCTGCAGTGAAGACCGTGTGGTCAATTCGAGCAACAGAATCCCCTGGGGAGCTTTAAAAATCACCCCTGACTGGATGCCACCCTTACGGATTTTTAATGCCTTGGGGTCAGTTCTGGGTGTTGGGACTTCAAAGTTCCCTGTGATTTTACTGCACCCTGAAGGTCGAGACCCACTGCATTAGATGTCTGGGAATTCTCTGTATGGAACACAGGGCTTCACGCTGGGCCTCACCACCGCCCCGCACACCCTCCTCGGTCACCCCGCCACTCCCCATCCTCTCCCTCGCTCTCGCACACGCTGGCCCTCGCCCTCGCCTCCTCGCCTCGCCTCTTACTCCTTTCCCCTTAGGAGGTTGGCCGTCCTCCCATGACCCCTGACCCTCACCGGGCGCCCCCTCGTTGCCCCCCCAGACTGCTTTGCCCGTGTGCTGGCCACACCTGGCCCACGGCATCGTTACCCCTTTACTCTTCTGTCGGTCCACAGGCGGCCACGCCATGACATCAAGGACCACATCTTTTTTATTTTGTTTTATTTTTGTTTAAAATATTACAGATGGCCCTTTTCCTCCCCACTGACCCGTTGCACCCCGCTGTCCGTGCCCCCGGGCTGTGCAGGGAAGGCCCGCATCCCGCGTCCTGCTCACCGTCAGATCCCTGGCGCTGCCTGGCCGGGGCGTGAGCGGCGGTGCCTCTGAAGGCGACGCGGGGACAGTGGCGTGGAGACCCTGGCGAGGGGCAGAGGGCACAGTGGAAGGGAGCCTGGTTTCGGGGAGTCGTGGGGTTGGGTCCCAGCTGACAGCCCTCTGCGCCTGAACTCTGCCGCGTCCCCCTGTGCCTTCTCGCCGAAACCAGGGCGCCGAGCCCACCTGACTTACAGGCTCCGTAAGCTCCAGAACTCCGTGACTCCGGCCATGTCACAGAAGGGGATAGCATCTGCCACCTGTGTCACATGTCAGTTTTCCTTCTTCTCGATTCTACTCTCCGAGCCCCTTCATCATGATCTTATTTTCCCGAAAGCACCATTGCACCCCCCCTTCTGCCTCCTTTCTCTCCTCTCCTCGCTCCTCTTCATTCTGACCCCTGCACCTTCCTGTCCCCTGCTGCCCCCTCCTCCGGGTCCCTTTCCCCCTCCCTCTCCGGGTTGTTTCTTCCAGGTCTTCCTCTGCAGCGGATGGACCTGCACAACCTTCGCCCTAGCGTTGGGGGTCACCCTCCCCTTTCCGCGATTCCAAGCCCAATTCCCCTTTCACTGCCTCACCGGCCCCCTTAAAGCCTGTTCCTCTTTTCTCCCCGTGTGTGTGGCTCCTCGCCTGTCTTTGGTAGGAGGTGGGGGCTTCTAGGAAATGAGGCAGAGCCACAGTTTCGGATCACCTTGGGGAGAGAAATGCCCTTTGTCCCGCTCTATCCCAGTAAAACCAAACACGTAGTTCCTGCGTTCCTCTTCAGACAGGCACTTTTTAGGCTAGGTAGTGAACGAAATTGGTTCAAGGGTGCCCTACAGATAGAACCAGGATAGGGTGGACCCCTAATGTCCAGAATGAGTTACTACACTCCCAGGGATTTAGGGTCTTCAATCTTTCAAAAGTTTATCTATAGTCTAACTTAAGCAATGAGGAGAGAGAAAATGATGGGGTACAGGTATTTGAAAATATTCTTGTGATTTTTCTGAGCACGGAGTTTAGGGACCATGAAAACAGAACCAAATCCCTTGCACAATCACCCCCTCTCTACCCAGAGCTTCTCCGCCACAGCACTTGATATTCGGGCTACATATTGTGTGTTGAGGGGCTGTCCTGTGCAGTGTGGGATGTTGAGTAGCACCCTGGCCTCTACACACGAGATGCCAATAGCACACCTTCCCCACCCTAGTCATGACAATCAAAATTGCCTTCAGATATTGTCAAATGCCACCAGGAGAGGCAAAATCACCCACTGCTGAGAACCATGGCTCTGTTCTAACCCCTGACCCTATGAACGGCCGTGGAATGGAAGTCATTGTAAACCCAGAATCTGGCCGTGACAGGGAGTGAGCCAGAGGTGCACCGTCCCCACCTTGGCATCTTCTGACCAGGTATTTGTGATCAGTCAGCTTTCTCCCCCCTTCCCTTGCCCCCCTCTCCTCTGCTGGCATTTCAGATGGCCACCTTGACCTTGAGCAGTGCAAAAGGCAGTTAGGAATTTGATCAGAGGAAGGGTCGTGAGACCGTTATGTGACTGAGGAATAACATTTCTATGTCTGTCTCAGTGCTTGAGGACAATCACTCGCTCTAAGTTGTCATTGGTTGTACTGCAAATACTTAAATTTATAGAAAAAAACTAAGGTTGTTATGTTTTTCTTCTTTGTGAGTTTATTGAGATATAATCGACATATGACATTGTGTAAAAACATGCTCAGGTGCCACAAAGTAGGTGGCGATGCCTCAGCCGTGCGTGTCGTCAGACTTGAGGGCTTTGTCCGTCCTTGTTGTGGGGAGTGCTAACCTTCTCTCCTTTCATCCAGCACTGTCATGGTTTTCTTTTCAGTACTTTCACCATTCCTCACACCACTCTCACACCTAACGTTTGTGGGTCCCACAGTAGAAATACTAATGGAAGCCCACATACCATCTTTAAAAGTTACATATTCAACTAATAAATTTAAATAGAATATTTTCTTTCTACTTTGACAGCTATGCTCTGATAACAATCTGGAAGGCTGGGTTCAAATTCAGGCACCTTGGTTCTGCACCAGAATATGGTCATGTGGAGAGTGGGCTCCTGGCCTGCAGCCGACCCATCCATCTCTTTCTGTGCTTGCCCCTGTCCCATGTCCTAATGCCCCTCTGGGTCTATTTCATTTCTCAGTTTTAACTTCTAACATGGGAAATAATTATCAATATAACCCACATAAACAAAAGCCCTTGGGGGTTCTCAGTAATTTGTCGGAGTATAAAGGGGTTGAGAGACCAAAAGGCTTGATAAACACCATGCTAGAAATGCTGGAGCACTCAAGGCAGTTCAACAGTAACCCAAGACGGGTCCAAAAGGAAAAATTTTTTCAGATAAATAGAAATCAATATTCATTACTAATGCTAATAATTGTCTTTCTAGATGGTGATGGAAAGTGGGGACTGGCTGGTTGGCGGAGACCTCCAGGTGCTGGAGAGAGTAAAGTGGAATGATGGGCTGGACCAGTACCGCCTGACACCTCTGGAGCTCAAACAGAAATGTAAAGAGATGAATGCTGGTAGGTCGGCTGTTTCTGATGCATTTGTTACTCCTTACCACCCTCTGATTACAGAATTAAGGATGTCGGGAACAGCATGTTTATAGTTTTAAAAAGCTGGAAACATCTTCTATTGATATGTCTACTGATACAGAAAGTTTATAAAGTTGAAATACATCCATACACTGGAACACTTACTATCCAGCAGTTAAAAATATGCACCGACACAGAAAGATACCCACAGTATATTTATTAAGTGAAAAAGCAACTTGCAGAATCAGATAACATAACTTTGAAAAACAAAATAAAATATAATAATTGTTTTTAAAACCCAAAGCTATTTCGGTGCCTGGAAGCAGCAGTCTCTGGCAGCTGTGCACCCACCAGGCTGCCTGCTGGCGACAGCAGCTGCCTCTTGGCGGTGGAGTTGGACCAAGGGGAGGAGATTTTCACTTCACATATTTTGAAAAAGAGAGATAAGATGAGGGGTAATTTTTATATTCTATTTAGGACTTTTCTGTATTTCCCAAGTTTTCCATAATGGTTATATATTATGTCATAACAAGAGAAAAAAATTAAGGCTCTCAGGTGTCCCTCACTCAGTGGAGTTAGTTTTGAAGATTTCCTTAAAGAGAAGGTGAACTATTTTATATCATTAGATTGTTGAGACCTTGCAGGGGCCCCATTATTATTCACCCCCTGGGGAAGGGAGCCTGGAGCAGGGAATGAGAGGCCTGATGAATGCAGATGGGCACCTGCCTGAGCCTGGGTTTGCCGCAAAGGTCCTGGCAAGAAATGCTTTCATTTCTGCGTGGGGCTCTCCCTGGGCTTCCCGCCTCTGCGTCCTGTCCCGGCAAAAGCAGCCTGACATTGGATGGTCCCTTTGGAACAACGCCCCTAGAGACCCATGTGGATTCTCCAGCTAATTATAGAAAACAAGTGGATGTAATGAATGCACTGAACAGGACCATGGCTGTGCCTTCCCTCTGTGTTCCCGCAGACAAGCCACGCTGTGCTTTTCTTTGACCTTGGCCTTTGTTTTCCCGCCCAGACGCGGTGTTCGCCTTCCAGCTGCGCAACCCTGTGCACAACGGGCACGCTCTGCTGATGCAGGACACGCGCCGGCGGCTCCTGCAGAGGGGCTACAAGCACCCGGTGCTGCTGCTCCACCCCCTGGGCGGCTGGACCAAGGACGACGACGTGCCCCTGGACTGGCGGATGAAGCAGCACGCGGCGGTGCTGGAGGAGGGGGTGCTGGACCCCAAGTCAACCATCGTTGCTATCTTCCCCTCTCCCATGTTGTACGCTGGCCCCACAGAGGTGAGCGGGCCTCAGAAGCCAGGCTCACCCTTGACTTAGAACAGATGGGTCTCTGGGCTCCTTCTGCGCCACGAGCAGGTTCTGAACTCTCCTGGTCTTTCTTCTCTATCCAACTTAATGATGCTCCCATGCAGTGCTTATAAAAGTGCTAGAAACATCAGCTCAAACCGGGTATACGGCGTGGCCTTTGAGAATATGGAAGTGAGTGCATAAGCCAGGTGGGTAATGCAACGCCCCTGGGTCACAGGGCAAGTTGTGTCCCACCTGGTATTCAGTTTCCAAAGCTGCTCTTAAGTCATTGTCCCTGCCCCGAGATACGTTAGAGGCTCATGGAGAGCACGCCTTTAAAAGCTTAATGTCTCCCTCTCATCACACAGCGAGCCTGTGGGAGACCTTTGTCCCGCTTGCACCCCCAGTGTAGTGGATTTGAACAAGTTTGCAGGAAGTATGATGAATTGAAAGGGTCTCAACCCTTTGAAATGCCCCAAACTGAGTTTAACAAGTTAATTCTCTTCGGCCAGATCAAAGTTCCAGGCTCCTAGCTCTCCTGTCCACCCTCTATATTTCTATCTGAGCTTTAAAGAGGACAATTCATTTTGAAATCCCATTGCTGTGTTGAACTAGTGTCAGTGTCTGCATACGAAAGGTAATTCGCTCATTCTTGGCAGTCAGATAAGAGATTCTGGAGTTTGTAATTTCCTTTAGACTGTGATTTATTCTGAAGAGAGGAACTGGGAGGTAAAATTCACACAGTTCTGTAAAACGGTGAGATCTGAGTGTTCCTGGTCTGCTCACCTGTTCGGAGAGATTAGGAAATGCAACCTTAGGCTCTAAGGCAGGGGGTTCTTACCCTTAAAGCTCCTGTCCCACCCAAGTAACCAAGCCAAAGAAGAGAGCGTGGAGTCTTAGACACCTCACTGACTTTCTTGCAATTATTCGTTGGCCCACATTACTGAATTACTTAAAGCAGAATAAAGGTGTGTAAACAGGGACCACGGGATTGGCCAGTGATGACCAGCATGTCCCTCATGTGATGTTCCCTAGGTTCAGTGGCACTGCAGGTCCCGGATGATTGCGGGGGCCAATTTCTACATCGTGGGCCGGGACCCTGCAGGAATGCCCCACCCTGACACCAAGAAAGACCTGTATGAACCCACTCACGGGGGCAAGGTCCTGAGCATGGCCCCTGGCCTCACCTCTGTGGAAATCATTCCATTCCGAGTGGCTGCCTACAACAAAGCCAAAAAAGCCATGGACTTCTATGACCCAAAAAGGTAGGTGTTCAGAGGAAAATTCTTTAATCAACATCTGTACAGCTAGAATGTTGAAGCACAATTTTGGCCCCTCGGAAAACTCTCCAGGGCATCTCCACATGCTCCTAACTGGACTGGGAGTACCTCGCACGTGACACCTGGTCTTATACATTCTGTGTTCCCTAAAGTTGTAGCACAGCCCCTTGAATATAGGAGGTGGCCCATAAATGTTTCTTTTTGAACGTACATTCCTTGAGCATGCAGAATGCCTGGCACATTGAGTGAAAGGTCAACACAGAAGAAGATTTTAATGAGCATTACTGCGCACTCACCATGCTCAGAGCTCACAGAAGCAGGCAGAGCGTCCTGAGTCACTTCCCAGGGAACAGAGTAGACACAGTAAACATTGAATGGATAGCTGGCATTATGTCCCCTTCTTCTGCCAAGTACCTTTATTGAACTAAAGATTTAGCAAATTGCCCTTTTAGAAGATGCAGCATTTTACAGAAGGAAAAAATGTCTCAGAACACATATGCTACCCCAAGAATCTTTAAGGAAGATGTTATTTACCTACGTGGAGTTCTTTGTTTCTACCCTGTGACAGGCACAACGAGTTTGATTTCATCTCAGGAACCCGCATGAGGAAGCTGGCCCGGGAAGGAGAGAACCCCCCGGATGGCTTCATGGCCCCCAAAGCATGGAAAGTCCTGACAGATTATTACAGGTCCCTGGAGAAGAGCAACTAAATGCCCTCAGCTCCAGTTTCTCTCTCACGTGCTACCTGATTCCCTTTTCTGTTTGCGTAATTAGATGCTTTGAATCCAATTGTTTCTCAATGACTGATTTTAGTGTTTTATAATGAGGTAAAAATTGTGTATAAAATTTAAAGCCAACTTCAATGTATACAAAAAAAAGTCAAACTGAAGACCAAATCTTAGCAGGTAAAGGGAATACTGTCGTCATTTTAGAATGAAATTAATTGCATTGTCTACTGCATCTGAGCAGGTAGGTCTTAGATTTCTTAAAGCTTTGACCACATGTCTAGTTTACTTGCCAAAAAGTAAAGCATATTTTCCAGCTTAACTTTCACCAACATACACTCTCCCAGTGTCACACACCAGAATAAAATAAATCAGAAAGGGCAGCTTCTTCTATACACCTGACAAAAAATAAATAAAATGCCTTACCCTGAATGGGGTGTGGCTCACATCAGGTTCTTCCTAATATTTCTCTTCATGCTCTATACAGCCCTACTGCCCAGTCTCCTAGATGCTGAAGTAGGACCTGGCTAGCGAATGTGTGAAAATGTGAATTTACTCTCAGAGATCTATACAACCTACTCCTGCCACTAAAATGATATTACCTAATAAGAGAAGTCTCAATGCACTTCTGTGACTAATAAAACTCCAGTTAAACGATGTTGTCATTAAATAGCGTAGAGTGCTTTGATGAAAGACTTCTACCCAGGGCCGTCTGGCAATACTGTGGAAAGTTAGTTTTCCTCCTCTTGGCTGTAGTCATTGTGTCCTACAAAGAGGCTGTGCCTTTAGACTGCAGCAGCTGCAGCTACAACCGAAAACCATTCACGCCATCAGACTGGTGAGCTGCTGGGACTGGAAGACACCGCAGAAAGCATCGGCTCCAACCCTGTCGCCTGACAGGTGACCAAACTAAGATGAAGCACGAGCACATGCGTGGTGAGCTGCTGGGCATGGCAGCGAAAACACAAAATCGGCATAATTAGGAAGGACTGGTGGCACTGAACGAGCACCCAGGCCAGGTGACTCCCAGTGTGAGCTGGGTCTACACCATGTGACACAGGAACTGGGCCTGATTCCCCTCAAATGTATATTGAAGCTCCTTGAATGGAGGGCACTTAACAAAGCAGTCTCCTTGGATGCTGAAAGGTCCAGTTTTTAAAACTCAGCTGATTGCCCAGCCGGGCGTGGCTCAGCGGTTGAGCATCGACCAGGATCCAGGAGATTGTGGTTTGATTCCCCTCAGGGCACATGCCCGGGTTGTGGGCTTGATCCCCAGTCGGGGGCGTGCAGGAGGCAGCCAGCTGATCAATGATGACTCTCTCATCATTGATGTTTCTCTCTCTCTCCCTCTCCCTTCCTCTCTCTAAAATCAATAAAGATATTTAAAAAATTTCTAAAACTCAGCTGATTTTTGCAGTTGAAAACAAACAAAAAACTTTTTCCAAAGATGTATTGCTGGTTCTGAGACACTCGACTTCTCTGATGGCTTTACTTCCTGGGAGGCAATCTTTTGGACTTTATGGGTAATTCCGTATGCTAAGATATATATGAAGAAACAATACCTTTTGTACATTGGTCTCTCTGGAAGAGACAAACTGGAAAGAAAATACTGTGATTTTAAAATATTGTTTTTTTAAAAAAATGCTAATCTTAGCTCGTGAAAGTTCTTTTGAGAATAATGTACAATGGCCACAGCAAAGTGTAACTGTCTTTAATAATAGAGTGCCTATACTCATTAATCAGAGGTACTCGCACTGCCTTTTTTAAAAACAGCGTATTTATTGAAAACATGAGACAGGATGTAGTGCCTTAACCCTATATTTTGTGATTTTTAAATATATTTAAAACTGCTCTTCTGCTCTAGTATCACACAGTCCAAATGACTATTTGTATGTACAACTGATGCTTGTCCTGATTTTAATAAATTTCTCTAAATGAAGGCTGAACCTTGTCTGCTTGTGACACTGAGTGTGGGTTGACCACGTGACTGCTGAGGGCTGTGTGACTTCATATAATTGGAAAGAGTAGCAACTCCCTTTCAGACCATAATTACCAGGCCATTTGCCCTTACCCATGTCATTTCAAGAACTGCTCTGGCTGTGAATGACAAGCCCTACAGTGGTATTTTCAGAGGGGACTGAGGTCTTTAGGGACCTCACCCCAAGATTTCATTGCCTGAGGATCTGATTTTTTTGTTTTTATAACTTGTTCCCTTTTCCAACGTCCCTGCGGGGTTGGAAGCAGCTGTGTTTCTTTTCCCAGTAACTCCCACACCTTTACTACCTTCAGCAATTGCTACTTTCAGTGGCCTTCAGGAAGACCTGCATTTTGATTTTCTTCCTGCTTGAGTCCCCTGCCTCCTTTCTGTCCTGAAGTTTTAATGAAAATCACTGCTGCTGGTCCTCGCTCCAAATAAAACTGGTGTAGTGGCCAACTCAAAGCCCCCACGTGGTGCCCCTCCCTTTCTCCCAGGCTCCTTCCTCCCCCTCCTAGTGACTATTATTCGGACAATGAAGACATAAGTGGTGCTGAGGGAGTGTGCCAAACTGTACTGGGCGGGTGAAGAAATCTCGGAAAGGCATGTGTAAGTCATTCGGTCAGATATTGCCAGACTCATAACTATACCAACACTTGTATCAGGCCACAGGATTTCTTTCCAACCCATATTCCCTGCAAGAAACAAACCTTGGCTACTTGAGTACAGACACGCCCGTTTTTCCATCTTCCTCCTTTCTATTACCTTTTAGGTCGAGCCCCGGTAGGTAACCAGGAAATTAGATGGTCACCAGATCAATCAATTGTTCTTATGTCTAAAGGTTTGAAGGAACAATAGTGCAGCTTTTGCCTGAGGTTTTGAATGATACAGGTTCTAATATTTAAGCATATCCCCATTTCCAAAAACGGATCAATTATCAAGAATTGACTATATAACTATTGAAAGAGTAACCACTTATTTTTTCTTTCCCCTAGCATGAATTTAATTCTTTGGTCAATATTAACCATAATGTATTGGTCCACTCCTAATACACATTAACCACATAATGAAAGTGATATACAAGCCATTCACTAATAGACACTGCAAAGAACTACCTAATTTCTTTGCTTATAATTGTATTGAAAGTATTTCTAAAAATAAATGGGTCACTGGCTAGTTTGGACATTTTAGTTTGATACAGAAAAACCAAGACAAAATAAAAATAATGCTTTTCCATCTCCAGTCGGGGTGCATGCTCAGGGTGTGCGCAGGAGACAGCCAATCAATATCTGCCCCCCCCCCGCCCCGGTCGTCTCCCTTCCTCTCTCTCTAAAATCAATAAAAATATTTTAAAAATAATAATAGTTTTATTACCTTCAAATATATAAGCAACAAACTGGTGGACACAGCTCTTTCAATGTCATATATATATTTGCAATTGCTGGCATCAAAAATACTTCATTTGGTAAACTTAAATATGGTTGGTTGGTTTCAGAAGTTTAAACTTGCTCTGCACCTATTTTACTAAAATATGTGAAAGTTCTTGTAAACTGGTATATATTATAAGAACTTATGGGTGAAGATCTTGATTTATGCTTACTGCATAACCCTGCTTTCCATAAGTAGTTGAAAGGTCAAGTTCAGCTCAGCGAAAGTGGAAATAATAATAGACTGTTTTCGCGTAAACAAATCCAACACTGATGTGGTATTTTGAACTAGTCAAAAGAATGGCCTCCATAAGTGTGTTCACTAAGAACCTACATTCATGGAAGAAATTAATTCCATTAATCACTATGGAGGTTATTTCCCCTATCCTATCTTCAAATCATAAAAATAATTATATAAAGTACCATATCTTTGGATATTCAAGGTCAACAACCAAAGGAAAAAACTTACAGCTCCAACAGAGCCCAGGAAATGGAGTGTCTATGATTTGCCTACCCCATGGCGCGTTTTATAATTGGGCCTATTAAAACAAGTCCACTTACCAAGGCCGACACCCCTCAGTAGCTAAAAAAGCCACCCACTTTAGAAGTCCTGATGATCAGGTCAGTATTGTTAAGGGCCCTACATCTGTCTATCAATGTGGCCAGTGTGCTGTTTAGTGAAAAGCACATCTATTTCAATATTTCCATTGTATAGATAAGAAAATGGAGCTCAGAATCAGAGATGACTTGTGTAGGACATGATAACCTACAGCCATATTCACCTCCTAGCTTCCATAACATTTTCATGGTTCTTAAAACAACCCCAGAAGGTACACATTATGATTCCTATTTACAGATAAGGGAACAGGTGCCCACAGAAGAAAAGAGATTTTGCCTAAGGCTACACTGCCATATGTAATAAAAGTTCCACAGCCGGGATCGAAACCTATAATGCTGAAAATGAACTTTACATGACTTATAATAAATACCTGTACAATTCCTTCTGCTAGAATGTAGAAGGATGGGAAAGACCTTCACTCCCATAGTAACAAGAAAAATCCAGAAAAAATAAAATAATACTTTTTCTACGAGGCTAGCAAAGAACAGTGGATGCAAGGAATTTTTTCCCAACTTTCTTTCAGGGAGAAATAAGCCCTTCAAAGTTGAGCAGGCAACCTTGGTACTTTTTCATATGAGGGCAGACTCCTGAGTCTGGACATAGTACTCAGAAGGGCAGGCCAGACTAGATGGAGACTTCGCAGGGGAGAATCCAGCCAACACTCAAGACAATAGTGATTGAAACCTGGAAACATTCAAAAACAACCTGCCAGGTTAGACAGTCCCCCTTCCCTGGATTTTGCAGAGAAAATGACAGAAGAGGCCTGGAAGTCTTGTGCATTCTTGTGGTGGCTGGATGCCAGAAACCCGTCAGAACTGAAACCAAAGAACCACAAACATATAAACCTGCAGCCCAAATCCCTTCCAGCTCAAACACTGCTAAGAACAAAGGCACCTGCGGGGGGTGGGGTGGGGGGGTGGAGTCAGCCCAGTCCGCACAATCTTATTAAATAAAGCTACAGTCCAGAGCCAGCCTAACTGGACTCTAGAAGGAAGGGGGACAATCAGTCCGTCACCCTGCCTATCAGAGGGAAGAGCTTACTGGCCCTGTAAATAAAACAAAAACCAGTATTATGCTTCAGTCTCCACTGTCCTTTTTTATACCCACTACCTGGAACAATATATAGTACAAGTTAAAAAGTGATCACCTAGCTAGAGTTGGGCACACCATCAAGAGCTCATGGCACTGGATCGAGCAGACGCTGGCACCCTGTCCACACACGGCTCATACTTCAGCACGCCCACTTGAGTTACAATACTGCCTTCATTTAGCATAAGCTAGGGCTTCATGTGACCAGCTGGCCATGTGTCATTTTTTTGTGCACCCAGCCACCTTTCCCCACAATACTGTTTCCTCTGGATGAAATACAGCTCTCCTTTTGCATTTAGTCTTGATGAGTCAGTAAATCCAGATATTTGCTCTCAAACCATTTAAGCCAAAGGAGTTCCTGGAAGATCATTCTCTCAAAAGCTCCAGGACTGCCAGGGGTGACTGCTGACCTGGGTTTGCACTCCCAGGACTTTGAATCCTGAATAAATGGTTGGGAATTCATTTAATTCAGTGGAGGAATAAAAGCAAGATTTTTATACGATACCTGATTTTTTAAAAAAACACCTTCTGGAACTTTCTTTAGCTTCCCTTTTATCTTATGAACTCCCTATATCCTTCAAGTAAATTCTTATTGCTTAAGTCAGCTAGAGTTGCCCTCTTGCAATAGAACCCTAAATGGTACCCAACACTATGGCCCAACAGACGATGCTTATCTCCCTCAGACATATCTGTGAAAGACTGACGCTGGATGATATATTATCATCCCGTGTCGGTATCTCGGTCATTCTTAGATTTTTGGAAGTTAGGGAGGCATATACCATTGTGTTCTATTTCAGTTCCAAGCTCTGCATGCCGGCAATTATTTCAATATGTTTGGCTCGAGTTTTAAAGCTAAGCTGTCACGATTCACAAACCTGTCCTTGGTGTCCACATAGGCAATCACATCCACTGGAGTTGTATTTCAAAGCACAAAAGCTCACAACTAAAAATGTTCTCAAGCAGATTTATAACTATAAATATTAGACAATCACAAAAATATACTCCCAGTTCAGTGTTTTGGTAATGAGAACTTTACGAGCTGTTAAGTTACAATAGTGCAAATTTTACCAGTGTTACTGAGGATATTCTTTTTATACTTATTGCTAAATGGTTTCTTTTAGGTTTGATCTCATTTGCATCTGGTGTGCTATACATCCGCTCAATACAGATTCATGAACATGTCTTAGAATTTTCACCTGCAAGTGTAAGGAGAGCTTTAACTTTTGAGACAGTAAGGGAACTCTATCTTTGATGACTAAATCGACAGCAGATACAATAATGAAGTCCCTCTAGAAATTTGTGTCAGCTCTAAAGGAAATGATTTGATGGCTTTACTTGAGGCTTCTAGCTAGTGCTGAGGTTTTAGTCATGCAGGATATATGCTCAGAGTACCAGAATTCTATTCGATATCCTGATACTGACCTTAAGAGAAGCTAAAAAGAGAATTCTAAAATATACATCATTCATTTTCTTTATCCAAAAGAAAATTATAACATTTGTCCACAAACAACACAAATCTAGTAAAAAAAAAATTCTTATCAGTGGCAGAAGCTGCCATTTTTATACAGGCCCACTCAAGGCTGCAGACATCCCCATCTAACACCAAATCTAGTAGTATTTATAGCTACTAATGTTAGGCTATCATGGCCCATATAGAATACTTAGGTCATCCCAACCCAGCTCTTGATAGCATGGCAAATTCTGGGTCACCCTGCAAGTAGGGGTGAGGGTTGAATGAGATAGAAAGGAGAGAAGTCATAAAGGAGATGAATTGATTCAAATATTGCGGTACTAAACTCTCCTTTTTAAAAGGCCTGGGAAAAGTTTGAGACACACCAGACTCATCAGAAGTCCTCCGACAATGAGGCTTTTAAAGAAACATCACACAGGTGTTCCACTTCCATCCCAATCCTCTATTGGAGTATAGGTTTGGGGATAGTGGAAACGATTTAAGCATGGAGAATGCTCAAAATCTGAGCCTGGTCACCAGATACATGCACCAGTGTGTAACAGTAATACAGTAATGTGGTGGCTATCACATTACCTGTGCCAGGCACCTGTGCTGAGTGCCTTGCGCGCATTATTTCACGATACAGCCCTAAAGGTGGGTGCCACTGTCACTGCAGTTTAGAAATGAGAAATGCAGGCTCAAAGAAGTTAGATAACCAGTCCAAGGACAGTTAACTAATGGGGAGCCTGGATTTAAACTTAGACACTCTAACTCTAGATCCAGTGCTCTTAACGATACCCAAAATGCAATACCTTAGAACCTGGACTCCAACTACACATGTCAAATGCATGCCTACATCAGGAAGATAGGTTATGTAACACTAAATGTTCTTTAGAAGTATAAAGTGGTTTCTTCAATTCCACTTCTGGGTATCTATCCAAATAAAACAAAAACACTAATTTGAAAAGATATCTGCACCCCTATGTTCACTGCAGCATTGTTCACAACAGCCAAGATATAGAAGCAACGTAAGCGTCTCCTGACTGATGGATAAAGATGTGGTACACACACACACGGAATTTCACTTGCCCATAAAAGAGAATGAAATCTTGGATGGGCCTAGAGCGTATTATGCAAAGTTCAAATAAGGCAGAGAAAGGTTAAAAACCATACTATTTCACTTACACGCAGAATCTAAAAGACAAAACAAGTGAACAAACAAGAGAGAGATTGATGGATGTAGAGAACAAAACAATGTTTGCCAGAGGAGAGGGGGAGGAGGTGAAGGGGAATACGAGCCACAGACTTCCAGTTATAAGATAAATAAGTTAAGGAATGTAATGCACAGCACAAGGAAATGCAGACTATTGTAGTCACTTGTACGGGGACAGACGGTTACTGGATGTATCGTGATCAGTTCATAATTTTATATAAATGTTGTACACCTGAAATACTCATAATACTGCATCTCAACTATATTTTAATAAAAACAAATGAAAAGAAGGCCTTTCCCAACATTTATCACGTAGGGAAGATGCATATTCTGTCAGAAACAGTAAGAAAATAATAATGACAGTTTCCTCAACTGCACTCAGATGCCTCGATGAGCCATATGGGGTCGGGGTATTTCTCTAACTTCATGCGATGACTAAAACCATGATAAATTTGGTAACTTCTACTACTGGATATTCTGAATTTAAGAGAGGATAAAAAGGTAGGAGACATAAGAAAAAATGTATCAGTCCTTATTTTTTATCAATATGTCATCAGATTAAAATGATTACTAAAATTCATACTAAAACAAAAATAATGATTAGATACTGGTATGTATACTCTAAGTGTGAATGCCACACAGCAAGATAGAAACAGCCCAAGGGCAGGTTTTATAAACCAAAACTACCCCAGAAAATTTTACATAACTGAAAAAGACCAAGGCATAAGTAGAGAAAAATCAATTAAGAGGGACCTCTTTATTACACATTTATAAAATAATAGTATAATTATTAAAAATGGAGACTATATTTTTTTGGTATCTTGTGTTTTGCATTCAATGATCTTCACAATTTTTCAAAACTTGATTTTTGTTATCCAAAGTGTTCTCCCCCAACCTCTACCCCACCCACCAAAGCACAACTGAAGAACAAACTATTCAACAGGTTCTAGTGAGGGGCTTATTATCAAAGAATTAATCCAATAACTCACAAATAAAGATTGAGCATTTTCAGAGAAATACAAACAAAACAAAGACACAGAGAGCGTAATTTCATTTCCTGATGATTCAGGGGCACCTCAGTGTCATAGTGTGCCACGTTCCTCATGCTGTGTGTTTAAGTGACAATAAGAGAATTCTAGTTAGTGAAATTGTGGACAAAAGAAAGTTTCACCGACATGTAGTGCACACAGCATCAAGTGACTACAGATACAATGTAGGAATTTTGATGTGTATATTTGTACTACCTAGGGTACAATTGGTATTTTTAACACATTTAGTAACAGCTACTTGTTTTAAATTATCATTTTATTTTTGATGACCAAATTATATTTGACCGTAAATAAAGAACACATAACTTTAAAATAACATTAGAAAACCATGGTTACAACAGAACTATGTAACATTAAATGAAGAAAGGGAAAGTCACATACATGTATTGTATGGCACTGAGGTTTTTCAAAGCCACTCTTTCTAATGGCTTTCAATCACCTTTACATATATCAATTTTTAAATGTCTCTACTCAGTATGCTTGCGGAAGGGTGAAATCAGTGTTGATCACACAAGCGCATGGAAACCATTCAATGCTGATCTCTGAACAACTATTATTATTATCCTGACAACCATAATAATTGAGCCACAACGAAGTATTCAAATGAAGCTGACTTCAACTATTCAACTGCAGAGAACGCTCATCTTAAAAAAAAGCTGAAACAAGTGACAACTGGAAATGGCTGAATCACTGTACCTTTTAGACACAACCTTCAATCTTAGTTTCACTATACAGAGCATTTGGTACTTTTTGATTCAGTAGTTGGGGTAAAAAAAGTTTCTGTATTCAAACATATCTACAGAAGAATGTCAATATAAAATGTGTGAATATATACATTTAATACACACACACTCACATATCTAGACAGCAGCACTTAACCACATCCCCATTTCTCACTAATGACTCAGTGAATCACCTGTTACTTTAAGACCAGCTTAGATGCTATAAGGCTGCAACATATGGCTAAAAAGGTCAAACACAAGCACCCACACGCAGGCTGGATTAAACTGTTCCTCCTCATGATTTCTGACAAGTGGTAATACCGTTTATATAACAACTATATCTCAATAACTTAGAATTCAGAGTATAAAACCAGTGTCATTCAACTCCCTCACTGTTTAAAGAACACTCTCCATTCTATTTCCCTAATGATAACAGAGCACACCAAACCAGGTTGCACTGACTGGTACACATGACCTTTACTCTTAATCTAAACAAACATGTGTTAAAACATTCTGAAATGCTGCATCCTTCGATTTCTTCATCTTTTCAATTGCCCGATGCAGGTCCTGTTGTTGCACAGGCCGAATTTCATCTTCGTCATGGCTAAAATGCAAACAAAACCAATGAATGTTCAAATAACTTTAGAATACATCTCCCTAAAATATTTTACCATGATTAAAAAATAAAATTCCTATCCAAGACCCCAAAGACAACCACAATTAACGCTTAATGTGAACTCTTCCAGGAATTATCTATACATATACAAATCTTAAGGAGATTTTTAAAAAGCACTGACTGCTAAGAGGTAGGAAGCTAAAAATGGTCGGCTATAAATATTAGAGCTGTGGTAACTAAAATCAGATACTGAAGTATCTAAGTACAGAATATCACCATATGGTGAAAATGTTACACAAAGGTGTGTCACTCTACCGAAGTGGAAATATTAATTCCAATCAAGGAGTCAAGTGTTTATTGCCATGAAACTGAAATTAAAATGTAGCTTTTCTCTATGTATACTTACGTATGTTTAGCTTTTGATGAACTGAAAATAAAATGATTTGCTATTAATAAAAACCAACTAATCTGAGTCCTCCCCACTTCAACAATAAGAAAAACAAAAGACTGTATATAATGTCTCCTTTGTAATTTATGGACACTTAGGAAAAACCACTTTGGGGAAAAGTTATGATAATCCAAGTCTATTGGTCAGATTTTTCACACTGAAATATAAAATTTTCAGGGCTTTCAGGACAGCAGAAAAACAGGATTTTCATTATTAATGTAATTTTATTTAAGCAAAATTTATTCGTAAGTTGTTTTGTTTTTCCCCTTCTTAATCTTATTTACAAGAATAAAAACCTTCAGAAGGTAGATTGGCTACAGAGGTCAAAAGTATTCCCAACTTTAGCACTAGAGTAGCTGGAGCAATCTGGCAATAAATAAATAAATGGAGATGCCCTCTGCAAGAAAGGGATCAAAGGAACACTAAAGAAAGGTCCAGAACTAGTGCATACCTAGCTAGCGGTAACAGGGCAGCTTTCGAGCAAACCTTTCTACACCAAGAGAAGCTTTTTTCCTATGGCAATGCACTATAATTAAACACAAGAGTACAACAGGTAAATCCAGGTCTCGGAGTGAAAGCTTCAGGGGGATGAGAGAGGGAGACTGAGAAACAAAGGGGCAAGAGATGGAGAACACATTCAACACAAGTCCTCAAAGTACACTAGTTTGCAGGGTCACAGGATCCTTCGTTAAGGTTGCTAATCTGAACAGGGGTTTGGAAATACAGTGTCATACTGACTAGGGCAAGTAGGCTTTTGGAAAACTTCCCAAGGGGCATGGTTCACCAGGGAGGAGCGACTCCAGTTCAGTAGTATCTTTGTTGGAATAGTTAGTACAAAATTGATTCTCAAGTTCATCATACTCTGAAACTGGTTTCAACTGAAATTTGCTGCAGTAAAAATGGTTTATCTGTTTAGTAAATACATTATTAACAAGTTGCAATCTAGTCCACAGCAAGGCGCACCCATTTACATGTAAAATTCCTGGAAGACAAGGCACTCATTTCCATGTGAAATGAACTTGAGGAATTTAAGATGCAAAGCAACCCAGGAGTACTACAGGACCTGGTCTTCCTAGTGGAGATGGGCAAACCCAAGTTTCTGTCTGCATTCTGTGCCAACTTCATGGATTTTCAGTATAAATTTAGTTTTTACTTCTACCTCTTCATTCTAGACCCTCCTCAAAACCCCTTCCCACCCCCAATTCATTTTCAGAACTCACCTTTAAAAAAAGACAAGAAATAAAGTTGGGGAGATTGTTAATTCCAATTTCCCTCATACTCTGTAAGCAGAGTTGGTATTGTAAAGCAAACTAAAAGAAACTAACCTACAAGCTCTAAGAGGATTTGATAATATCAGAGCTCAGCTCTATACACACATACCTTTCCTCTGAGGCAGAACTGACATATTCCCTGACACAGAGGAGGGCAGCATCTCGACACATCTCTTTCAGGTCACTTCCCGAAAAACCATCAGTCTCCTGGGCAACTTCTAACAGGTCCACATGTCTATCCACCTTAGACAGAGATGTATAAAACACACTTAAAAAACAAACAAAATATACTGCAAAGGAGATATCCAAACACTCTTCTTAAAGAATGGTAAGCATATTGGAACAGCATAGAAGGAGAATCATTAGAGTATTTTCAGTTTCTAGAAGGTTTTTTTTGCCCGGCCAGGCATGGCTCAGCGGTTGAGCGTCAACCTGGGATCCAGGCGATTGGGGTTCGATTCCCGGTCAGGGCATATGCCCGGGTTACAGGTTTGATCAATGCCTCTCTCATCATTGATGTTTCTGTCTCTCTCTCTCTCCCTCTCTCTGAAATCTATAAAGATATATTTTTTNTCCCGGTCAGGGCATATGCCCGGGTTACAGGTTTGATCAATGCCTCTCTCATCATTGATGTTTCTGTCTCTCTCTCCCTCTCTCTGAAATCTATAAAGATATATTTTTTAAAAAGGGTTTTTTTAACCATAAAAGCTTAACATTTGAAATCTAATTTTTATTGTCATTATGACCAAAGAGTGGACTAAGTCTCAGTAGATATATCATGGAGTGACAGTGAAGAAAACATTCAAACAATGTTGGATTCACTTCAGTACTCTTAGAAAGGTCCCGAGTTAACACTTTTCTATAATATAGTCAACATACTTGGCAAACAGCCTACATTATTTAAGTCCCAAGTCCATTACAAAAAGCATATTCCATTGAAACACTCTAACACCCATTTTAACTGTAATGCTTTGGTGTTCTACCTCAGCATTAATTCAGCACTTACTGTCTAGCTCTCCGGCCTAAACTTATATAGTCAAGCCAAAGTGACTGTATGGGCACATAATAGACTTGGGTTAATACAACGTTACCAAACTTACCTATAGATGGAGAAAAATGGCAAGAAAAAAAATGTACCTATAATAATTACCATCGATTAAATGATTGTGTCATTCACTTTACATGTGTTATTCTCATTTAATCCTGTCAGGTAAGTATTCTCAATTTCATTTTCAGAAAACAGTGAGACCTGGAAAGGTTAAATAAACTGCCCAAGGTCACACCATTGGCAGAACCAGGATTTGAACACAATGTAGTAGATAGAGGTCTAGCTATATTTCCCCCCTAACCATCTGTCTTAACATTTACTTTCCCCCACTCATTTGAAATGCCACCCTTACTAGTTACTAAATTCACATTTGTTTTTGTGGAAGACCCAGTGTTTAAGTAAGAAGAGAAAATTTACACAAGGTCAAGAGACTTGGAGGTGAGAGGGCATAGGGTCTACTGTCAGCTCTGCAACTGCGACCTCACCTGACAGTGTTCTGATTCCTAAAGGTGGGGTTAAATAAAAAGAAATCACGTATTCTTTGATAAAAAGAAAAGTGAACTCAGAAGGTGGGTGTGAGGCAAACGTAATGATAAGCAAAGAAAATAGTAAACGTATAGAAAAATCTAAATAAGTTTTACTATATACACAGTAATAATAATAATTTGGGGTAGAGAAACCATGTAGAACTAAAATGCTAGACAATAAGAAAATGTAATCCACAGGGGGCAGCTACATTAGGCATTCTACAGTCTTAAATTATAGTACTGAAAAGAGGGCAGCCCTATTATTAACTTGGACTTTAAGTATGTATGTCAAAAATTTTTAAGGGTACCACTGAAAGAGAATGTGTAACTTCCGAAGCAGTAGAGAAAGGGGGAAAGAGGAATAAAGAATGTAAGAATACACTAAACACTAAAGAATACAGAGTGGAGAGAACGCAAAGAAAAAGCAGGATGCATGGAAAGAAGTAATGAATCTAAATTTATGAGTAATCAAATGCAAACAGCCTAAACTATGCTGGTGAAAGAAAAGATCAGACTTAAAAAAACAAAATGTAGCTATCTGAGGTTTATAATAGCCACACCCTGTCAAAAGGGAAAACAGAACAGGCTTAGTGTTACATTTGAAGGAAAAAGGCCAAAGTTGAAAGTAAAAGACTGGAAAATGATATACGAGGCAAATATTAACCAAAAGAAAGCTAATACAGTTCTGTTTATGTCAAATTGATAACTATTTTTACTCAAAATGCATAATTTTTAATAGAAATCATTACACAGTGATGACATATAACAATTCTGCACTGGCACGCATAAATTTAAGTTAGTTTGTATAGGGGGGAAAACCCTATCTCTTTACTGTTGAGTCAAACATGATACTAGTAGCCCTAGCTGGTTTGGCTCAGAGGCTAGAGCATCCACTTGCAGACTGAAAGGTCCCGGGTTCGATTTTGACCAAGGGCACGTACCTCAGTTGCAGGCTCGATCCCCAGCCACAGTCGGAGGCAATCAGTCAATGTGTCTCTCTCACATCAGTGTTTCTCTCTCTCTCTCTCCCTTCCACTCTCTCTGAAAAGCAATGGAAAAGATATCCTCAGGTGAGAATTAAAAAAGCCAAAAAACATGATACTAGTATAAGGTCTATATTTTATTCATTCTAATTATTTTTATACTTAAAACTTTAAGTCAAAACCACTACACTATCTTTTTTAAATGAGCAAGTATGTTAAGGATCTTTCAATACAGAATTGTGAAAGATCAGAAAACACTATCATTTCATAAGCTTCCTTCTTTTCTTCAGAGAATAAAAACTCACAAAATAGAAAAAGTCTGTTAGTCTATTTGCATCAAAAATCCTAATTCTGCTCAGCAGTGTGTAAGCATAATGGTGCTCATTTTATTAAACAAATGTTTGTGCTATTGATTTGAGGCATCTTTTAACAAAATTAGATTAATTTCTTACGAATCCTATTGAAGTAACAATATGCCTCCAGCATATAAATGAGTTAGTGGGAAATCAGATGTCCCCATGTCAGCAGTTATCTAGAGAGCGTTCATATTCTGCATCATAAAACTGATTAGAGACTAATCCTTTGTGTTTTCATGAATAAGAAACTGGATGCTAAAAATTCCCTGCACCCATGACAAATAAAATTCTAAAAGAATTCCCAAAGATATTACTGTTAAAAAAAAAGCAGAATACTGAAATCAAAGTTAAAATAAGACATAATGAATAGTTTCTTAAGTAAATGTGAAACTGAATGGCCTGTGTAAAGTATGATTGTCTTATGAGATAAAAGGCTTAAATCTCATCATTTATATACATCAACATGTAAATCATCTATATCTGCATTAGACCATATATACGTGGTTTGAAAAGGTTAACTTCCAGCCGCGCAATGCCATCTTTCATTTAAAAATTTTAAAATGAAATAGTATTACGTAACTCGAAGTCTCTACAAAATTGTCAGCAAATACTTTCTAAGACCTGTTACATTTCTAGCCACATCATAGCCACCCTAATTCAAAAGAACTTGTGAAATGATTTTATCCCCTTTGTTTTCTTCTCTGCACTGTTCCTTAATACTTATCCTTGTTCAAGATTTACCAATTAAGTATGTTTTATCTGAACAACAGTACAACTACATAATGTCTTTTTTAAAGCAGTTACCAAATAGTTAATTAAAAGACAAAATGTAATTTGTTGATTTCTCATTCATCTAGGACAGGAGTTTCTTACCTAGAATACACGGAGGGTTTTAGAAATTTCCCTGAATTGTAAAAAACATTTCATGCTTTTTAAGGAAAGACTACATAAGCTTTTATCTCTTTATTTAAAGAGATATCTCTATGATTCTCAAAATAGTTAATAACAATGATCTAATCTCTGTAATTTGCTAGGTTCTTTAAACTTTTGCAAAATGGCATACAACATGCTACTCTGATATATTTTAAAGAAATAAATGAACAGGCACGGCCGGACGTGGCTCAGCGGTTGAGCGTAGACCTAGGATCCAGGAGATCGGATTCGATTCCCGGTCAGGGCACATGCCAGGGTTGTGGGCTTGATCAATGACTCTCTCACCATGGATGTTTCTATCTCTCTCTCTCCCTCTCCTTTCCTCTCTCTGAAATCAATAAAGACATATTAAAAAAAAAAAAAGAAAAAAATGAACAGACCACTACTAAAAGATACAAAAGAGGACATGAACCACCAAAAAGACATACATGCTTTTGAGTAGAATGATTCAACATCAAAAAGATCATAATTCTCTTGAATTATGATCTCCCCAAAACTTAGTGTTTGTTTTTCCTGGAATAAGACAAATTAATTCTAAAATTCACACAGAAAAATGGACAAAAATTATCAGGGAACTTTGGGCTGGGAGACAATACAGGATGTCTAACCCTACTTGCTAATAAAATTTGTAAAGCCTCAATATTTAAAAGATCATGGTGCTCGTTCATAAAGACACAAGAGATCAATGACCTGAATTCAGAATCTAGAAACACAGCCAATACATGAGAATTTAATATGTAATAAAGGTGGCACCTCTAATGAGGAAAAGATGGCCTATTCAATAAACAATGCTCAGACAACTGAGTATCCATCTAGAAAAAAAGCATGATTCATATCGCATATATCTAAATACCAAATATATTGCAAAGATTTAAACATAAAAATAAACCATAAAGGACATCCAGATATTGTTTCTTCTAATGAGAAAGTAAATTCTACTTAGAAGTAGTCCTGTTTCCCCTCCTGCCAACGTGAACCTGAATATCATCCAGTCTCTTGATCCTTTTTGATGAATTTTAGAGAAACAAGCAATTATTCCTTGTTAAATCAGCAAAATTCAGAATAAGGGAAAATCTGGACAAGCCCAACCTGCTTTTTTCCCCAACAAATAAATTGAAAGGGAGAGGGAAAGAAAAGAGAGATGAAGGAAGACTCCATAGCCTTCCTATAGATTAAGTCTCTATAGATAAAGAGAGATGTAAAAACTATCAAATAATAGCAAATTATGAACTTTATATGAGTCCCGAGTTAAATAAATACATAGTGTTTTTTTTTAAAAAAGACACTTAGGAGACAAGACATTTGAACAGACTGGATATTCAGTGATAATAATGAAGTATTGTCATTTTTTTGTTAGGTATAATAATGGCACTGATGTTAGGTTAAAAGAAATTCTTTCTTTTAGAGATAAACTAAAATATTTAGATGAGCTATGATGGGAAAATACGGGAGGGTGGGGAGTAGGTATGTTATGTGTGGAACAAAATGAGCCATGGGCCTGACGATGATTTAAAGGAGACGAACTACAGGAATCTGACTGGAGCCCCCAATTTGGACAGCGAGTTCAAACAGTGGGTGTACGTAGGACGCTTAGGGTCGTGAAGAATATACCATGTCATTAAATGTACTTGGTTACAGAGTTTTGGGGGGAAAGGTAGCAAGAGTTGGAAAATTCCTTTATAAATATGGAGTGGAAAAGGCCTTTTTAATTTAGATTCAAAACCCAGAAGTCATAAAGGGAAAAAAGAAACCATCCCAGTAAAGTCAAAAGATAAACTAGGAAAAATATTTTCAAATCACCCTAGACAAAATCACCCTAATATAGTCAAGTTTCTACAAATCTATAAGAAAAAAAGAACTATGCAATAGAAAAATGAGCAAAGAATATGAATAGGTATTTCACACAAAAATTCAAGTGGCTCTTAAACATATAATGCTCACTTCATCCCGAAAGAACACAAACTAGCCCGAGTGGGCGTGGCTCAGTGGTTGAGCATAGACCTAGGATTCAGGAAATTGCAGTTTGATTCCCGGTCAGGGCACATGCTTGGGTTGTGGGCTTGGTCCCCAGTCGGGGGCATGCAGGAGGCGGCCAATCAATGACTCTCTCATAATTGATGTTTCTATCTCTCTCTGTCCCTCTCCTTTCCTCTCTTTGAAATCACTAAAGATATATTTAAAAAAAAATACAAACTAAAACTATGATGAGGTACCATTTTCTACCTATCATGTTGCAGGAAGTTCCATAATGTTCATTTGGCAAGGCTATGGGGAAAGAGGAAATCTAATATTGCTGGTGTAAGAATAAACCGGGCATGAACAATTTGACAATAGCTACTAAAATTATAAATGTCTAGCAATTCTTCTTCTGGAAAATTCACTCTACTAATATTTCTGCACAAGTGTGAAATGCCATGTACAAGGTTATTCAAGGCAGCATGTTATATTAGTGAAAGGCTGGAATCAACCAGGCTGTCCTTCAATATGGCACTGCCTAAATAAACTATGGTATATCCATCCAATGGCATCCTATGCAGTGAAAAGAGAGAGAACAAAAGGAAAACTATGCTAATATGGAAAGATTTCAAAGGTAAGTGAAAAAAGCAATGCATAGAACAGTGTACACAAGGTTTATTAATATGGTTTATGTACAAAAGGGAAGAGAAACAACAGTATATTTTAGTTTACTTGTAGAGGCATGATGCCCTCAAAATGGATACAGAAAAAATACAGTATACGGGAGGGACTGAGACATTTTACTGTATACCATTTAATACATATATTTTAATTTTTGAAACACTGATGACATTACTATTTTTTTAAAAACCTTAAACACAAATACTATTAAAGACTGATTACCACATCTTTTAAAATCTAAATTCTAACTTCAAAAATATTGCAATTAAAAAACAAAACCCCACACTTCTGTACAAAAATAAACATATCTTATATAACTGGAAAGCAGTGAAGAGTGAGGATTTTAATCTGTAGATATGAAAACGGCTTTTAAAAAGCAGATTACCTTAATTAATTCAAGTATACCATAGTTACTGAGTTACATGATCAATCAAGTTTTATAGTAGCCCTAGCAGGTTTGGCTCAGTGGTTAGAGCACTGGGCTGCAGACTGAAAGGTCTTGGGTTCGATTCTGGTCAAGGGCATGCACATTGGTTGCAGGCTCCACCCCCGGCCCTGGTGGAGGCGAGTGTGAGAGGCAACCAGTCAATGTGTCTCTCTCACATCAATGTCTCTCTCTCCTTTTCACTCTCTCTGAAAAGCAATGGGAAAAAATATCCTCAGGTGAGGATTAAAAAAATAAATATATTAAAAGTTTTATAGTAATTTACTTCAAGTTCAAGGCCACATTATTCTCAGTTTTCTTTTTGTTTTTTTTTTAAATGTTCAGTCTTTTTTTTTTTTTCCCAAACATATCTTTATTGATTTCAGACAGAGGAAAGGAGAGGGAGAGAGAGAGATAGAAACATCAATGATGAGAGAGTCATTGATCTGCTGCAGCCCACAATCCAGGCATGTGCCCTGACCGGGAATCGAACCCTGATCGCCTGGATCCTAGGTTGATGCTCAACCGCTGAGCCACGCCCGGCCGGGCTCAGTTTTCTTTTTCATTTATCTCTGAAATAATTTCATGAGCTCTTTTTCCCTGCTGCTGCGGAGTTACGTGGAGGCGGAGGCCTGGGTGTGCTCAAGATTCAGCTCTGCACATACCCCACCACCATGGCCAAGGAAGGCATTGCTGCTGGAGGTGTAATGGACGTTAATACTGCTTTACAAGAGGTGCTGAAGACTGCTCTCATCCACGATGGCCTAGCGCGTGGAATTCACGAAGCTGCCAAGCGCCAAGCCCACCTTTGTGTGCTAGCATCCAACTGTGATGAGCCTGTGTATGTCAAGTTGGTGGAGGCCCTTTGTGCTGAACACCAAATCAACCTAATTAAGGTTGATGACAAGAAACTGGGGGAGTGGGTAGGCCTCTGTGAAATCGACAGAGAGGGAAAACCCGTAAAGTGGTTGGCTGCAGTTGTGTGGTGGTTAAGGGCTATGGCAAAGAGTCTCAGGCAAAGGATGTCATCGAAGAGCACTTTAAGTGCAAAAAATGAATGAATGAACTTGGCTTTTTTGTTTCTCAAAATAAATAAATAAATAAATAAATATAAAAAAATAATTTCATGAACATAAACATAATATTTATATGGCAGGAAAAAATAGTAATTTTCTACTTACATTTTCATTTTTCAAAATGAGTTTCAGGATTGCTTCTCTTTGTTTTAGAGCCTAAAACCAGGAAAATTTCCAGTTAGTTTAAAAAAAAAAGGATCAACTAGTTTTCCTAATATTTCTTCCTTGCCTGTAAAACACCTGACAATCCCTACAGGGAATGACAGAAACTCTGACTGACAGAGATCATGGAAACTACTGACTAAAGCAAGGCCTTGGTTGTCCTGCTCAACTATGTCTTATTCTGAATCCCAATGCTTAGCAAAATGTCTGGGAGAAAACGTGCTCTTACATGTTTCTTGAGTGAGTAGATGAATACCTATTACTCCCAATGACTTGCCTCTATTGCGCTGCAACTCACCCTTTCTTCATTTAGAAAACTGAAAACACCGCTGCCATACAATTTTTACCAGTAATTGATGAAATGGCAACAATACCCCCAGTTCCTCCATCTCAATATATGACTTGCATGCTCACTAACTTACATGAGTGAACTTCTATTTAGTGTTGGTAGTACATTTGTTCATATGCTTGTGTGCTTGTCCCAGTGACGCTTCTCACTATTACACCAGAGAACAGAGCTGGTACAAAAATGCCTTACCTATATAATAAGTATAAATGCTTTCAAGAATCATTATGGCTGAACTCATCCCTATTCCTACAACCACTGGAAAAACGAATGTGATTACACAAATACCAAATCAAACGATCAGAAAAACAAAACCAAGCCCTGCCTTTTCTATAACTCCAGGATATTAAGTATGAAGGTTAATTTGGTATGTCAAGTGATCACCAAAAACTACTTTTTTATTTTAAAATAAACATTTAACTTGGAGAGGAGTTTTAAGGTAAGGTTAATCATACACTTCGACGTCATATAGTTAAGCAATAAAAAAATTACCCTATTCTCTAAAAACAGAATGAAAAGCGGGTTACAAAATCCCAGTTTCTACATTAACAATGTCTGAACTTACAACAAATTTGTTAAATCTATTACAACTCATTTTGATAACTCACAAAATTAACATATTAAACGATTGATGTTTCTCTCTCTCTCCCTTCCTCCCCTAGAAGATTAAAAACAAAAAAAACCTTTAAAAACAAACTTATAACTTTAGTAAAGTCTACTTTCCATGGTGTGTATCCTGTGTTCTATTCTAGTGTACTCTACTGTGTTTTCTATTGGACTACAAGCACAGATTCTATCAATATAATCTTCGTCTTCAAACCACTGAGATAAATTAATTTTCCGTAAAAATGTTCTGATGTCTAGCTAACAAAATAAAATCAAAATTCTTCTGTGAAGCATACAAAGTTCACCTAAACCTGGGAGCAGTCTACCTGTCCATGATCTATTCTCCTTCATGCCCTAACTGAACTACACCAGAAGTCACAGCTAAATATGAGCTTCTACACTTTCTTGCCTTTGTTCATTTTGGCAGGAAAGCCTTTTCTTGTCTAACTTGCCTATTAATTTCCTACCTTCCTTCAATGCCCAGCTAGACTCTAATTTTTTTTTTTAATTTTATTTATTTCTGAGAGTGAGAGGGAAAGGGACAGACAATGCTCTAAACAACTGAGCTACTAGGCCAGGGCTGGATTCTGTAAATCTCATCAAATCCTCAAATAGAATTATTATTTTCATTATCCTCTCAGGTTCTCACAGCTCTTTAAACATAACTGTGTAAAGTACACTGTCTTTGAGGACAGGGGCAATGTTCCATTCACCAGAGCCTTACGGGTGTTCTGACACATATTAATGCTCAATAAATATCAGCCATACAAAATAAATTGTATAGTCTTCTACATCAGATTAAAATATTCTCACTGATTTATCACGTACATTTTCTAATAGAGTGGGTACGTACATGAATACTCTCAGAGGAACCAGAGGTTATATCTATAGCAAAACAGGGTAATTTTATAGAGGTTACAACCAACAATCTTTAGGAAACGGGTTTAATGCCACAAACTGATCTAGTAAGTTGCAGAATATAAAGTGGGACAAAGAACTTTCAGCTAGAGATTATAAGTGAATTATTATTTACTTCAAAATTTGAATGGAATAACCTCAAAAGTTCCTCTACATAGCTATACATGTAACATGCTGAATGTATAGCACATATCTATTACTAAACCTGTTTTTCTTCCTTTCCTCTTCAATCTAAAGGAAGAGAAAATTCAAGTTCTGATAATTCTGCGCAAAAATTAGAGTATCAATAAATTACAATCATCTACTTGAGGGTACTTCTTTACTAACAAGAAAGCTAGAAAGAAGACAGTACTGGTTCAACACCATCCTCACATTCCCATTAAGTTAAAGTGTAGTATCTTAGCTGCTGGTTAATCATTAATCCCATCAAAGGACAGCATTGATTACAGCTGCCAATAATTAATCAAATAAGTCCCAGTTGTTTCTCCTGTCAGGCCTCCTGAACAGAACAATTCTTTAATCCCAAACCAAAACTGTAATTTAGATTTTCATATGTATCTTGCATAGATAACTTGCTACAGTCTAGAGAAAACCACTAAAGTGTCTAGGCAAACTTAAAGTTATTACATACTTTGAGGAGAAGCAAATAATATTGATCTCAGGAAAGAAAGAAATAAGAAAATAAGCAAGAGTAGAAAGAACAAAGAAGCAATGATGTGGATTCTTGCCCTAGTCCTTCCCTGCCCATCATAAATAAGTGTTATTTTTTAAAAAATCATTCCTTTCTTGAAATCACAGGTAAAGACCTTTAAAAGGTGAATATTTAACTTATATATATGAATATATAACGTCAATCAAAACCACCTACAGGCTGGTTGATATGAAATCTTGTAGGCATTCTTCTCATTATAGCTGAGTCAAGATCCTGAGGACGATTAGTAGCTCCCATCACTATGACCTAAATATATAAAAAAAACAAAGGTATTAAAAGCCACCAATAATATTCCTTTTAGGTTGTTACTTAAAAGGCTTAGACAATATAAAAAATTAAGTGGTGTTAAACTAAATCTTCTATAAGAAATCTGATATTAACCCAGTACGTACTACTTAAATATTTATAGATACAAATTGAAATTAATCTTAAATAAGTCAGGTGATAGCAAAGCTGGTAAGGTTTTTTTTTTTGAAAAAACTACTGTATTTTGCAAAACATTGTTACTCAATGGCTACATGTTAAATAACTGAAAGTCATTTATGTTATAGCTTGGGAGTATATACAAGGGGATAGTAATAATATTAAGAAGAGAATAATTTCCTCAAAGTCTGAGGATGCTGGTAAAAGTTAACAGATATGTACTTTTTCCTCTACATTTCACATCGTTATCTCATGGCATATATCAGCACTACAGGTGATACCTTTTCAATGCTAATAAAACCTCAAGCAATCCAACTTTAAACAAGGCCAACAAAATAAAAGTAAACATCAAAATTCTGGGTAGAATTTTTTTAAAATGCTGATGACCCTGCAAACCTCTGGGTCATTCTTTATAAAAGATGTAGAGATGAAAACTAACACAAATAAAGACAAAGATATACAAGTTAACTTCTGAAGGGCTTCATTAGTATGACTGTTGATATTTCTGTATAAGCCAATAACAGCACACATCTGCTATCCAAAATGAAATTTATTGGTATTCTAAGGGTAAGTTTTATTTCTTTAATATTATTTTATTTCAGCCTAAGAGGTTTTAGATTTCTGAAATAATCATAAGTCTAACTCCAGAACATGTTGAAAGATTCATTAAATTTTATATTCAACTTCTATTCTACATTTAATGATATTTAAGAGCCAAATTACTTTCAATTAACTGTGAGAGGTTGCCACCTAGAGGGAAAAAATATAAATACAAACTTGAGAAATGTTAGTTCTATAATGCAATTTTGCATTTCGATTAAGTGGTCTTAAAAAAAAATCAAAATATTAAAGTCCTTACCTGTTTTCTTTACTATCTATAAAATTAATCAGAAATGAAATTTTCTACTAAAAAAGTCTTAAAGTGATCATAAAGTGATCAAATGAACTAACTGCATAAGATAAAGAAGGATGAATATAAGTAAGTACATTTCGAAATGCAGTATATTAAGTGTTAAAATGAGAGATTCAAAGTGATATGGAAGCACGTTGAAGACTAATCATATTAGGTAGCAGAGAATCACGAAAGGCCTGTGGTTAAGGCAGTACCTGAAAAAAACCTGTAAACAGATTGTATTTTGAAAAATATTCTAAGTAAATAGCCTAAAACAAAACAAAAAACCCCAGTATAGAAGATGGAATGCTCGAAATTAGGATCACGAAATCCAAATAAATCTAGCACAGCATGGTCCAAGGAATGCATAAAGGAGAACAACAATGTCCATGATGAAAAAGCAGGAGTGAATAAAACCACTTGTAGTTTCACTTCAAAGCAGCAAACTTTAAGAAGTGATTTTAAGGTGCAAAAACAGGCAGGTAACCTTTACACGCACCTTTATCTAACATAAATGAACTAAAATTCAAAATGGGAAGCAACAGTAATTTTTTAGTATTTAAGCAACAAAATTAATGCACCTTTAGGCATAAGTAAAAAATAATCAGATCTAGGAGGAAACAAGATGGTGGCGTAGGCAACAGCTGCACCTGCAGCCTCCCGCAACCACATCAAAATTACAGCTAAAATACAGAACCACCATCACTCAGAGCCTCCTGAGATCTGGCTGAACAGAAGCCCTGCAACCAGGGAGCTGAAGGAGCACCGAGACCGGTAGGAGGGGCGGAGACGCAGGTGCCCGCGGGCCTGCGGCCCCAGGCCCACGCCCGGTGCTGCAGTTGAAACCAGGGAGGGAATCCCGGCAGTGGAGGTTTTCCGGAGGAGTGAGGGGTCCCAGCCTACAGCAGGCCCCCAGCCCAGGGCTCCAGGGCCAGGAAGAGACGTACCCACAACTCCGGGCTATGAAACCAGCGGGGACTGTCTCTGAGGGTGGAGGAGGCTGCGGGAGCCCCAGCAGCTCCTCTTAAATGGCCCGCGCATGGACTCACTTGGATGCGCTCCCTCTGAGCCCAGCGCCGCGCAGCGGCTTGAAAGGAACCTGGGACACTTGGGGAGGAACTAACCTGCCTGAAATCGGGGGGAGAGGTGGAGGGGCAGCTTCCTCCCAGGCAGAAGAGCTGGCGGAGGCCATGGCTCCTTTGGTGAGTCCTCCCTGCACCCAGCCGGCAGGCAGGCTCTGTATTTGAATCGCCAGCACCTGACTCACACCTTTGGCCCCGCCCCTCCCCNCACACAGCCGGCAGGCAGGCGCCATGTTTGAATCGCCAGCACCTGACTCACACCTTTGGCCCCGCCCCTCCCCACCTGCAGCTCATCCAGGCCATTTCTACTGGCTCTATGCAAGTGGCCTCTTGAGCCTCATGCTTAGGACTTTCCTAAAATCTCTCAAACAAGCAGCAGCAGGCCCCATACGGCTTGATAAATGGCCCCAGGCCTGGCACTAGTGGCAACCTGCATTGGCTAATAGCTTGGCCTCTTGTAGACAACGCCAAGCCCAGCACAAGTAGCAGCCATCTATTGTTTGCTGTGTAGCTCATGCTGGGTGGCCCTGGGCAAGGCACTGGCACAGGCTGACTCTGCACCCCCTGGGAGGCCTCAGAGACAGTGCACCTGGTGGTCAGACTTGACCACACTGGATTACAACCCTACCACATCCATGAGTAACACACTCAAGGGGCGCACTTGGTGAACACCAAAGCTCCACTGAAGTAAATCCTGCTCCATAGGGGTGTCTCCAGCAGCTCTCTGGCTGTAGTTGCAGCTGGTCCTCACAGCTGATTGGTCTGGGGGTCAGTTCCTCCCAACAGCAACCAAGGCTCAACTACAACAGGACAGTGCACACAGCCCACACAGGGGAGCACCTAGAAGGCCCAGCTCAGGTGACTGGGGAGGCTGAGCCACTGGACCCTACAGGACACCTACTACACAAAGCCACTCTACAAATTCCAGGAGACA